GCAGGAATGAATAGTCTGTTCCTGGAAAAAAATATGGGTGCTCAAACTTTTAAATTATTTTAAAAAGCAGAGTAAAGAGACATTAATTGTGTGAAACCTAATAGTGTCAAATAGCAGCAATACCTAGAATTTTATACTATTTCAGAAGTGGTTTAAACGTGCTTGATCTGAGGCACAGATAGAATGGATGATGGTCAGAGGAGTGTTTCATTTGCATAGATTGTTTATGTTCTCTGATGTGAGGAATTATGGGATATGGTCTTGCTAGCATTTCTAGCCAGTATTTTTTAAATGTTCTAATTGTAATGAGTATTAACTGAGCAGCCTTAAACAGATAAAAGCTATACCCTTTTTTTTTTTGCTTCCAGAAAGCATTGTTTCTGCCTAAGTGAATCTGAACTCTCATTACAGGAGCACAAAAACTGTGGTGAGATGACTGAAATAGAAGCCAAAGTGAAGTATGTGAAGCTAGCCCGTTCCCTGCGGACCTATGGAGTGTCATTTTTTCTTGTTAAGGTAATGTAGATCTTGCTGTGGCCATATTGTATGATTGGTCATGTATTACTTCAGATTCTGCACTAAGCAAAGGTCAAAGATGTTCTTTCAGCCTTCTGTTTGAAAGCAGCATTTGGAAAAAAGTGTAAATTACTACATGGGACAGAATTATAATTTGAGTTTACATCCTTGTCATACTGCTTCCAGAAAGAAAGCTGAGTCTGTCATGATTTAATTTCTTTAAACTGATGTTTCTTTTTTTTTTCTTTTGATTACCAACAAAGTACTGTCTTCAGAAAAACATTCACAAAGAACTCAAAAGTTGTTCCTATTAAGAGGTTTAATGATAATATGAATTGTGTGCTGAAAAACTGCATCTGAAGAACAACTTCATCAGCTGCATGCTTAATTTCTCTTAATCCTTACAGTAAAACAGGTCATGATCTTAAGGCTGTTGAAACCATTTGGTACCAAGATACTGATGTTCTGCAGTGAAAATGGCATTGGGGCATTAGTGCCTGAGTATTCAGTAACCACTGACATAGAATGGAAAGGAGGCTAAACTTAGGCAAAAGTTTTCATTCTTAGGTTCCCACAGTTACAGTACAGAATCTTTGTAGACAGCTGAATATCAATAGGTTGCCTTTTCCTAAAGTACTTAATCATCCACAAATTCTAGTGAAGCAGATAGGTGAAAATACAATGAAAAATGTGCAGAGGATAATACTGTTAATACAGTATGCTTTGAAAGAATTACCTTGTCTTTTAAGGGAAAATGTCTTGTTAGGCACAACTAATGGTGAAAGGAGTCTCAACTCTCTAACAGATCTATTGAGCTAAGTTGTGTATTAGAAACTATACTAAAGTTATGGTGTGCAGTTTTCAGTAACTAAAATATTAAAGCTAATAAGCATGAATGTTTAGAACAAGCTGCTGATTCAGTGGGGATTTGTTAACACAGTGTGGCTGACCTGTATGGTAAAAGGCAAAAATATCTGTATTTTTCATTAACATCTTGTTTTCTTTTGTCATAGCTTAAAGCAAACAGTCACTGAATCGAGTAACCATGTCATGAAACTTCTGTTGGAAGGAATAACTGGTCTTTTAAAGAGTCTATCAAATGACCTACTATGTAAATAGGAATTGATTCTTTATGGTCTACATAAGTTCAGGGGAACAGAACATGTGGATTCGTTTCTATTTTATGATGGATTTTATGTAGCAAATTGTTAGCTTGGGCTTATGCTCTGCAATCTTGGAAAACTAAAGAGGCAGAATCTCCATCAAATAAGGAGACATCAGCTGGCAGCATGCAGATTGACTCTGCCTTCCTTGTGATGTTGGCATGGGTTAGGATGTTCTCATGGATTGAAAATAACTAAGATTTCAAATCCAAAATATGGGACAAATTACGGCTGATCTTGCCTAATTGGCAGACCCAGTGGACCTTTATTTCCTTTACCCCTCCAGAAATTTTATAGAAAAATGGTGAGAGCAACCTAACTTCTCAGTCCTCCTGATGCCAGTTTCCTATTCAGCTTCTCTAATACTGTTTTACGGAGGAAGTCTTGTGTCTAGAAGGACTGCCACCACGTTGTTTTTAAAGTAACTTCCAAAGATTTGTTATCACAGTCCCTAAAATGCTTCTGTTTTCTAAAGGAGAGTGAAGAGAGAGTATCTTTTGAACTGCATAGTAAAGATCAGAGCTTCTTGATGTTAATGCATTGCTTGAAAATCACTGTGACCAGACAAACAGCCTGGAGTTTTAAATTGTCCTCGTCTGCATGCCAGTTGCTTTCCTTTGTCAGTATATTCTATCATGCTTTTCCTTTCTCCTATGGCAAGTTCCATTTGAATGAAAAACAATCTTTCACATCATCTCGTAGGAAAAAATGAAAGGCAAAAACAAGTTAGTTCCTCGTTTACTCGGTGTCACCAAAGACTCAGTGATGCGCGTGGATGAGAAGACCAAGGAAGTGTTGCAGGAATGGCCACTGACAACTGTGAAACGCTGGGCTGCCTCACCTAAAAGCTTCACTCTGGTAATCTTTTGGTATATATTTACAGGAAGAGGAATCTATGTGGCAAGGAATAAGGAAGATGGACTTAGAACAGTTTCTTCAATGTAACTTGTTCTATCCATAATTTTCTAGCGTTATTAGTTTAGGGCTCAGTGACTCTATATAAACTGGCCCATATTGGTGTCTAGGGTCAATCCTTATTTTAATGTTTCCAGATGGACTAGTTCCCCAAAAGTATTGTTAATACTTTTCACAAAACTCTGTTTAAATCTGTTCTGTACCTAACCACTAAAACAGTTAAGAAAACATCATTATTCATACCTGCTTAAACCCTTATTGTGCTTGCCATTCATAATGCACTTTGTGACTTGCAAGATATGAACCTAAACAAAGCTAGATGGTTCATTAATACATTTGATAATTATGGATTTAAAGAACTTTCATGAATGTAGTGTTTGGTTAATTATTTGATCCATAAAAGACCACTGCAACAAGAGCATTTTGGATATGAAAGGGTTGTTTAAAGTGGTAGAGCAAGAGGCAGTGGCTAGAAAATTATATTCACTTTAATCATGTGCATCTAATTTTCAATTGCATGGATGATTATGCTTTAGAATAAAATTCTAAAGACTTCTCTCCATCCTTCAGTGACTGAATGTGATAAAGTCAGACTAAGTATCTCTCTGTCCTCTGGCACTTCAATTTATGAAATGTCTGATTAAGCTGCAGTAAAAAGTATCTTTCCTCTCTCCTCCCTCACTGCCCATATAGACTGGTTTAGAATCTTGGAGTAGTCTCATTTACTGTTTGATATGATGTCTATACAAACAATTTTAAAATTTGAATTTTGTCACCCATATTCAGTACTGTTTATTCATTTATTTACTTTCTGTTTTCAAAGAGGTGTTTTTTTTTTTTTTCCTCTTTTCCTTCAGGATTTTGGTGAATATCAGGAAAGTTATTACTCAGTACAGACCACTGAAGGAGAACAGATCTCTCAATTAATTGCAGGTTACATTGATATCATCCTAAAGAAGGTATGGTAGTAAGATGACATGTAGTAAAAATGCAGTAAAAAAATCACTGTACAGTAGTGCGAAAACTCAAGTGTGTACAAGCTGCAGTTTTCTTTTTCTCATGAAGTCAGTGTTATCTTATGTTTTGATGTTATTTATTTTCACCTTGAACCTAATATAAGGTCTCTCTGTTTAACTCAAGTGAGTGCTTCTGGAAACTAGCAAGGTTGTTAACTATAGCAGTAGTGTGGGTCAGGCTCAGTACTGCACACTTGTGCTTTGTTTTTCTGTTTGGAAGGTGAGCTGCTGACTATGAGTGTATATCCAGAGAAGAGTCCAAAGCTTCAACTGTGGATTTTAAGCTATGGACCAAAGTAGTGAATCCGGTGGGAAGAAATGATCCCGTGGAAGCAGTGTTTAAAACTACATTAAGAACGACACAATAGTTGTATAGCAGCTCCTGTATATAATGTATCAAAGCTGAGAAAGTTTTTTGGCAAAACTTCAAAAAAAAAACCACACCCCATTATATTGCTTTAAAAATATTGTGATCACTGAAGCAAAGAATCACATCTCAGTTGTGCAGAGAGAGGAATAAAATCAGTGTTTGTGAAGAGGCCAGACTGTCTTGAAACTTGGTTTTATGAAGTGTGCCTGGCAGAAGAGAGAGGAGAGACTAATATGCATCTCCAGCATTCAGAATATTCACAAGTAAATAAGCACAATAGCAAAAAATACCAATTTTGCCAACAAACGTGGAGCTGAATGGTCATACTCTGAGCATGTCGTACAGGAGAGAGGTGTTTCAAATAGCGCTGATTGTTCCTTGACAATTTTTTTACTTTATTAAGGTTCAACCAAACTACATCATTATTTGCTGTAATAGATTTTAATAATAAAGAAATGACAGGAAGCTAAGCAGCTGAGGAGAATTTATTGCCTCTGTTCATGTGAACAGTGTAGGATGTAACATCAAGTGTTATGAAATCAGAGGTTGAAGAGGATTGCCAGAATTCATCACAGTATGTGCCTTTTTCTCTGAGGCTGTCAGTCTCAAATTTAATACATGTTAAATAAACTGCAGGTTTTGGAAGATGGTTTAAAACTTGATTCTACCTCTTAAGCTTCAAAAGTTGCTTTGCTCTCTAATGCCAAACAAAAGCAGCCTTTCTGTCTTGGTAGAATACAGATGTATGTATTTCCACTCCCAGTCCTTTGATTTCTTCTTTACAATCTGCTGACACAGCCAGTTTTAAAATTAATTAATTAGGAATGGGTTAAGTAATAAACACCCACGATGTTCATGATGTGTACAAGAAGCATGCAGTTTCCAATTGTTGAGCCCAAGTTCTCTGTGATGCATGCCTCAAAATATGGTTTATTGCTCTGTTGCCTAACGTAATTCTTGGTGTGTTTTTGACTGTTCCAACTCATTTGCTCTGGTGTAGGTTGCTGGTGCTTTTTAGAAATAGGCAGTTGCAGTTCATTCATAAACTCAAACTGTAATAGTAAGAACTTCTCTGGAGAAAGCTGGGAGTGGTGTGTGTATGGATGTCCATGAGGAGCTCCTGTTAAATGTACGCAAGGTCACAGTGGATGTTTCTCTATTTATATACGTGTATATTCAGACTGCAAGTCATGTAACAAAGTGGAAAGCAGACAGTGTCTTTGCACTAGGTCACAAGCAGAAATAGACTGTTTTTTACAAAGCAATACTTTTATGACTTATGGGTAGCTTCCTGTTGTTTCTAGTGATTTAGACTTACTCCCCTTACATATATTTACCTCCCTTACACCACTACAAACAACTCCCTCAAAAAGTCAGATATGCAGACTGTCCAGAATTTTGAAGTAACTATGGTAAAAGAACTTGGATATGGTATTAAATTTATGATCCGTCCTATGGATATGTATTTTCTAGTGGTAGATAGCACCATATAGTAACATTTCAGGATGCTAAATATGACTTGTAGCTGAGTTCTAGTTACCTGAGTCAGTCTGATGTTCCTGAGTTAGAAGAAAATGGGAAAGGGCATGGTACGTGTCCCATTTGTGCTGGGATTTGCTGCATATCAGTCAGACCTCAGATTGTCTTTTCACACAGGAAAAAAAAATGTTATCTCAGCACTTTCTTTATACCTTTGTTCAAAAAGGCACCAATATGCTTTTTTCCTTTATGCACTTAATCTGCTAGGGCTTAGAACCTGGTCTGTTAGATGCTGAAGGGCACCTCTTCTGAGGTGGCGGTTATATAGTCACACACTGCCAAAAAGCATGGTATTCAGCACTGGACCAGACTCTGTAGATGATTCGACTAGGATTGTGATAAATGGTAAGGAAATGGTGGAGATAAAGCAAAAAGCAACACATGTTGTTTAACTTGATTTTTTTTTTTTCCTTCCCCCTCCAGAAACAAAGTAAAGATAGATTTGGGCTTGAAGGTGATGAGGAATCAACCATGTTGGAAGAATCTGTTTCGCCTAAGAAGTGAGTGTATACAACAGGAGGAAATGCTCTTTATTTAAGTGACAGCTTTTAGCTGTGGCAGCTTTTTTCAAACGAAATAGTATAGTTATTACTGCTAAAGAGTGATTTTCTACAGGGTATTTCATAGAAGGAAGTAGTATCCCAAGGCAATTCAGCAGACTCCTAGCTTGATTCGAGGATTTAAGAGCAGGTATTTGTCACCAAATTATTGGGTAAGGCAACCAGCAGTGGTACCAGTTTGTGGTAACTTGACCCTTGAGCAAAGAAAGGAACTCAGGCTGCAATTCAGTAAAATACTGGCCGGGGGGAGGGGAGTAATGATGCAGAGCTGAAAATGTCACATTAGATTTCTGATCTTCATGCAAACACCTAGGATTTCTAAGGTTTTAGTTGCTTGTGTCTGCCAGGTCTGTGGTTTCTAGTAAATTTGACTCCTGTCAGTTTAATTGTACCTGTGTCATGAACAGAGCTGTCTTGTTTTACCAAACCACCTTAGACAAACCAATCAGATGTGTGGTGTGGGTAAAGACAAGGTTTTGGTACTAGGAGGTACTAGAACTGTATTCTGATGGGACAGTAACTGAATGTAACAAAAAGCAGAACTGTAGAGCTGGCCATACTCTTGAAAAGGAATATTAATTTTTTCCTTGCAATGAAAGAATAGAAATAGGTTCATGACATAAGCTGTAATGAGCCACTCAAGTCTCCTCTTGAAACTCTGAGGATGGCAGTGTCAGCTGTATGTATGTGAAAAGTCTATTTGATTTATTGTTAAGCATACAGTTTACAGAAGACAGACTTGTTAGGTATTTGATATGGCCTTATGTGAAATGTCAGCTTGTGACGAATCACACATGGTCAGATGTGCTTTCTTTTGATAGTGCCCTTTTCAAATAACTTCCAGAATATGGCAAGTGCTGTGTAGAGAAGCCCAAAACTTGTAATAGATGAATACAAGGTTTTTCACAATTGAAATTACTTTTTTCCCCAGCAGATTGTTGGTGTTAAAGCCAGAACTTCTGTCGATGCTTCTAGCTGTTAAAGCTTGAACCATATTTAAATATGAGCAGTATATCTGGCAAAGTGGTTCATGATCAGGGATGACAGTAACTTTATTATTCTTGAAAGTATCCTGCCTCCTAGCCCCCTATGTGATAGGCAGCCAGATTATTAGCAAGTACTGTGTGTGCATATGTGTATAAAGCGGGAAGAAAGGATGTTAGTTTTTATCCCAAGTCTAGGGATTGCTTGCAAAGGGCATCTCCACAGGGTTCATGTTTCTATTTTCTGTTGATCAGCCTATGATGCAACTGAAACAAAGCAGGTTTTGTGCCATAAACTTTGTTCCGGTTTTCTCTGTCGTGCATCTTAAAGCTATTGTACCACATATACCAAAAGTGCACATTATGTTCTTTCTTTGGTGCCTGCTTATTAGTGGTATTTATATTTGATCTGCCAAAAGCCCCAGATCAAATCTTTTGTAATGTGTTAGAAAATGGTTAGAAAGAAGACTGTAAAGTTTTCCAGCTTCTCCAAATGTCATGAAATGCAGTTTAAAATCCTAAGGGAAGAACATCAGCAGGACTTGATTTGCAGGACCTCACTAATTCTGTCAGTGTTGGATTTTTTTCTTTTTTTTTTTCCTCTTTAGATCTACCATCTTGCAGCAGCAGTTCAACCGAACAGGGAAGGTGGAGCATGGCTCTGTGGCACTACCAGCTGTTATGCGTTCAGGGTCCAGTGGCCCAGAGACTTTCAACATTGGCATCATGCCTTCTCCTCAGCAACAAGTCACAATTGGTCAGATGCACAGAGGACATATGCCCCCGCTTGTGAGGAACCTCCTTGTTTTGTATTTGAAACTACTTTTTTGCATTTGAAAATTGTTTGTGCTGCAAGTAGTCAGAAACAACAAGTTACATGTCTTATTAAGAGCAGGAGGAGGATATCAAGTGTGACTTCCTGGCTGTCCTACTGAACATGAGTTTTGAGCACCCCTGAAATATTTAGGGTACCACATTTTTACTTATTTCCCTATTTTCTTTAAAGCCATCTCTTCCAGCCTTCTCTTTACTTCTAAGTAGTTAAACTAGTATTCAGGGGTTAGGGGGAAAAAGGGTTTAAAGACTGGCATTATAAGCAGTTTTAAAAAAAAGGCTTACATTTAGCTTATCACTAGCCTACCAATTTAGAATTTTTTAGCAGGCTTAAAGCTGATGCTGAGCTTTCTCACTAAATTAAAAGACAATCAAAAGCCCTAAACAGTCTGTAGAGAGTATAATCTATGTTTAATATCATGATGTACCACTAGAAGTGTAGTATGTGTAGTGGTTGACCTTGGCTGGTTGCCATCCAGCTGTTCTTTCACTCCTGCTCCTCAATGAGACAGGAGGGTGGAGGGGACAAAATAAGATTGAAAAAGCCTTTATCTCAACATAGGTTGAGATTAAGGCACGTAGATCACCAGTTACCTTCATGGGCAAAACAGACTCAACTTGAGGAAAATTAATTTATTGTCAACTAAAATGGAGAACCTTTCCACCACCCCTTTTTTACTGACTCCACTTCTTTATATCTGACTATTCTACTCCCTGCTCCCAAGTGGTCAGTTTATAACAGCCTCTCCCTCCTTCTCCTTCCTTTTCATACTTTGCCCCAGCTTCAGCATGGGCCCTTCCTATGGGCTGCAGTCTTTCAGGATAAACTGGCTCCAGTGTGGGTCCTCCATGGGCCGCGGTTTCTGTCAGGACCCTGTTTCAGTGTAGGTTCTCCATAGGCTGTAGTTTCTTTCAGGGAAATACCCCCTTGCTGCAGTGTGGGGCCCTCTGTGGGCTGCAGGGTGGATATAGAGTGTTTAGCTTTCTCCATTGTACTAGGGGAAAGCTAGCTATCTTGAAATGGCCTGGTGTGATTGTTGGATTGCTGTCACTCACTGTGTCTTCATGCATACATAGTATCTGCTTGAAGCACCATTTGGAACGTAACACACAGCCATTTCCTTGTTTTGCCTTTCAGACCTCAGCTCAGCAGGCCTTGATGGGGACTATTAATACCAGTATGCACGCTGTTCAACAAGCACAAGCTGACCTCAGTGAAGTTGATAACCTACCACCTCTAGGGCAGGACATGGTGAGTTTTTCCTAATCCCTCACAGGAACGGGTCTTAGTGCTTTGATGTATTTACAGATCAGTTTAGCCATTGTCCCCGTTTCTAAAGTGGTATTGTTAAAGCTTTTAACATGAGATAAAAATTTTGTGCTCTCTTTAAGGGTTCCAGCTCACTCTAATCAGTCTTCTGAGATTAGATATAGCAGACTTCTTTGCATAACCATGCCCGTATTCCTGTTTGTTTCATGTGCATATGTACATTAAACGCAAACTATGAGCAGTATTTATGGTGGGAGTGATGCTGCCTGGACACTTGAAAAGTAAGAACAAAATATGATTCTGTTGTTACTGATCTAAGTTAGGGCAGGAGGACAGATCAAGAGGCTATTGCTTATGGGGGACTGTCAGTCAAGAGTGATTAGCCTTCATGGATGCACTGTTTATGGCATTTACCTTTAAAAGGGCAGCTGTTGAAATGTGATAGCAATTCTGTGGTGAATGATTCAGCAAAAGAAAATGCTTGTTTTCATATTTCACTGTAAGGGCTTGGTGGTTGTCCTCTGTTTCACTTTTAAAGGTTCATGAAGGAACAAGAGATCTACATAGTGTCTCCTCTTACAGAACCTCACTGCAATCTTTAATTCTTGTTTTTTGTTATTGCTCTTCAGGCATCTAGAGTATGGGTTCAGAATAAGGTTGACGAATCAAAACATGAAATACACTCTCAGGTCGATGCTATCACTGCAGGAACTGCGTCTGTTGTTAACCTTACAGCAGGTAATTTTCAAAGGGAAGGATTTCCTTGCAGTCTCCTAGTAATTTGTCAGCCTAACTCAAGTAACATAGGGACTGAGTATGGAGCAGCTGGAGAAAAATTTTCCTCAAAATACACCAACAGCTAAGTGCACTGATGTGTGGAACAAGCTTTCTGTCCCTCCCAATGCAATTTTTGTGTCTTCAATTTATCCCTTACACTAAAGGTATGACCCCTGATGAAGATAAAATGAAGCTTGCTTACTCAACAAAGTAAAATAGAGAGTGTTTGCAAGGTTACTACAAAAAAGCATTATTGATCTGACAGTTGTTAGAGAGAGATGTTTTTGACAGTTTTTTCTTTAGCAAGTTACAAGTTGAAGGAGCTGTGAGTGGCTTAAAGGAGTCAATATTCTTTCAGTGTTGAAAGATAGCTGAAACTGTGGACTTCTCAGCAAATTGCATTAAATGAAGAGGAATTCTTTTAGAAGATAAATTCTTGTAGAAGAAGAAATGTAGAAATTGGAAAAATTATAGCGGTCTGTAGTTGGTGGGTTTGTTGTTTTTTTTGGTTTTTTTTTTGAAGTGACAATGAATTACTGAGTAGGCATTGCTTGGCTATCTTGAAATGTCTCACTTGTCTCTCACCAGAGTGTAGCCTGTGGTAGCTGCCTCTTATCCTTTTTAACCACTAAAGCATTCTGATAATGAAAAAATATTTGTTCTACAGGGGACCCAGTTGACACTGATTACACTGCTGTGGGATGTGCAATTACAACCATCTCATCCAACCTTACTGAGATGTCTAAAGGTGTGAAACTGCTTGCTGCTCTCATGGATGATGACGTTGGAAGTGGAGAAGACCTCCTGAAAGCTGCTCGAACATTGGCCAGTGCTGTCTCAGACTTGCTGAAGGCTGTGCAACCTACTTCAGGAGAGGTGAGTAGATGGAAACTTCTCAGATTCCTTCTTTGAAGGGCATGGCGTTGGCTTTTTTTGAGACATGTTGGCTTTTTTTGAGACATGTTGGCTTCAAAGCCTCACCTGCTCAGTGCCACATAATGTCCCCTGTGCAAGCAATTCTTTTGACTACTTCTTATTCCTTCATCTGTCTCTGCCTTTATGCCTTAAGTCTTGCACCTTGGTATTAGAATGTTCTGTATTATATGCAGAGGTTAATTGATTTGTGTAATAAATAGTTAATTTATCTGTGTACTCTATTTTCTTTTAGAAACAAATTTCAAACAGTACTATGACTCAATTTATTAGGAAGTGGAGAGATACTCATTCAGGATTTTTTTTTTTATTGACTATCTTTGTCTACTTTGACATATAAAATGAGAAGTTAATCCCTCTGTAGTTTTCCAGAAATGATAGTGGTACTGACCAGGATAGATTACCTTGATCAGTTTGTTATGAGTTGGAGTCTGCAGCCAGTTTGCCTTTGATCTTCTGGTATTTATGTTTTGAAATCTCCTGATGTTTCAGATCAGTTGGCATATTGATTGTGCATCCTTAATTATCCTTGAAGTTATTTTAACAATGTCTATTCAAGTTCTTCAAAATTCTTTATACATTCTCTGGGAGTACTTCAGATGAAACTCCTGAAATACAGATGGGCAGTTGTGCATGTGCAACAGTAAAGATTTTTCCACAGTGTTTCTGTGTGATAGTTGTTGTGAATGGTTTTTTTAGCCACATTAATTGCATGCTAATGCAGAAGTTCCTTGCGGAAATCTAAAATTCAAGTAGAGCTCATTGTGTTTGAATTAATGTATTTCACCATTATATTTTTCCAGCCTCGACAGACAGTTTTGACTGCAGCTGGAAGCATTGGGCAAGCAAGCGGGGAGCTGCTGAGACAAATTGGAGAGAATGAAACGGATGAAAGATTCCAGGTAATGAAGGGGTTGCTTGTCACTGTCAGAACTCTGCAGCTTTCTAATGAGGAGGCCACTGCATAAAACCAGGCTTCCCAAAGTGCAGTTAGGAAATGCTAGATTTGAAGTTTCTCAGTGCTAATTGAGGTTAATGCATTATGAAACTGTTTTTAATTACACAGAGTGCTGATTTCATAGGAAACAGTGCTTCATTCTGTGCATCATACAGATGCTTTCTTGCTTCATGGAGAGCTGTTTACACTGTAATTCCCTCAGTGTTTAAAATGTATGGTTTGTGCTATTTGCACACTGGTCAGACTCCTTGCTTTTCAAATTCTACTCTGCTTTTTAGTTTCACCACTATGTTCATCACTGGCTTCTTTTATAGTGAGTTTCAGTACCTCAGTGTTGCATACATAATAACTTTTATAGTTTTATATCCTACTTCCTGTAGGATGTAGAGCTGTCATTTCATTTTTACCCATGGAAAATTTGGCATGGAAGTCCAGAGGTGTGCTAATTTAAGATACCCTATGACCTATTGATCTGTCAAATTCTTGACATTGTGTCATGCTTGCTGTGTTTGAATTGCAGTTCCCATTTGCATCAGTTGCAGCAGAGTGCAAGTTATGTGTCATAGTGCCAAGTCAGACACAGAAAATAAGGAACAGCAAACAGCTTATTTTTAAAAACTCTGCCTATCTTCACTAAGTACACTGTGTCAGATGCAAGGTAATAACTGAGTTTTCCAGGGCCACATGTGTAGTCTTAATCAATTGTTCTGAATGCCATAGGGATTTTGTCAGAAGCAGCATATTACAACTTGCACATGCACACAGACAAATCCTTGCCCTTCTTTGTGTTTCACTGTCTTTGCAAGCTAATGACCTATTATGCCATGTATTTATGAAGAATGAATGGATGTTTATTAATAAATAGTGAGTATTTCTTACTGAATATAGTATTTTTCACAGAAGTGTTTGCTGTGTCTGTATGTATGCACATAAACAAAAGCTTACACAACCTTTTGGTAAACTGAGTAGAAGAAAATTATTGTATGGCAAACATAATTTCTTTAAGATGATTGGTATTATCCATTATCAAATCATAATGCCTGTATGACTTAACAACAATGTTAGCTATTAGCTGTTTAAAACCATTGTTCTTAAATGCTCTGTTAAAAACATATCTGGATTTTTTCACTCAATGCCAAGAACAGGTTTGTACCAGAACCAAGAGGAAGTAATTTATAGCAACAGACAGACCTCTGGAGTGCACTGTATGCAAGATGTCTTCTAATATAACTTACAGGCTATTTTAAACACTTGATCCCACTAGTAAATATGTCTGCAAGTTTCATCAGAGTTCTCATTTGTTTTCTCAGTTGAGTATGTATTGCAGCCCTCTCTTTTTCTGTAAGAGAAAGACCCTGAACCTTCTGGTAAGTGCTATAGAGTGTTGGAGAAGGTGGGTAAGGAAAGGGATACCTTCATACTCTAAAAACAGAAATCAGAACTAGTGTTCTTAATCTTTTAAATCCTAGGTTTTCTTTCTGCTGTGAAGTTATAATTATGCATATGTGTATCTGTAGTATCTTTTTACAGGAAAGCCAGATCATTTTAACAGTACGGGCATTAGGAAGACTACATCCCACCAAAAAAACAGAAGTATATGGAATGTAGCCTTTGAGGTGGGGAAACAGGAAGAAATAGCCATGTTTGCTTTACATGAAACAAAATGGTCAAGTTTTGATACAGGAGAACTTCTTACCTTCAGGAGATTTGATCTTAATATAAACAAAGTATATACTTTTTTGTTCATGAGACTGAATTTGCCTTTATTTCACCAGGATGTTCTGATGAGCCTGGCCAAAGCTGTTGCAAATGCTGCTGCCATGTTAGTGCTGAAGGCCAAGAATGTAGCACAGGTTGCTGAGGATACAGTCCTGCAGAACAGGGTCATTGCTGCCGCTACACAGTGTGCGCTGTCTACTTCGCAGCTTGTGGCTTGCGCGAAGGTGAGGCTAGCAGTGTTTGTGAGATGGCGAGGTATCGTTTGGACTGTATGCTCTGTGCATTTCCAATAGTCTCAGGTAATATATTGCATTAATATCATAGCTCTAGATTTATGTAATATCAAAGTTGTTGATTAATAAATTATCACCTATAACAGTGGCAATCAGGAGCCCAGAGGATGTGAGGTAATCTCCAGAGGACGTTCCACAAATAACAGAGCCCATCTGATTAATTACTAAAATTGATAAAAGAAAAAAAAAATTAGTTCAAGAAGCACAGCTTGCCTGGGGCACTATGTAAGTTTTCTAATAAAGCCTAGAATGAGGGTGGGTTCACCTCATAGAATCATAGAATGGTTTGGGTTGGAAGGGACCTTAAAGATCATCTAGTTCCAACTCCCCTGCCATGGGCAGGGACACCCTCCACTAGACCTCATCTAAAGCTAAATAATTAAAAGTTGGTATTCTTGCTGAAAATAAAATCAAGTTAGTGATCGTTGATTTAAAATATATTTGCACTAATTTACGGTAGCCCAGTTGTTTTAATAGATCCATTGCTTTTGGCCAAGTACTGATTTTTGGTCTAAGCAAATTACACAGGAGTTGAGATCAGACTTCAAATTCTGAAGTCTGCAATTGGAGCATTATGTCTTCTGCAGCCTTTTTTGATCTTAAAAATAAATAAAATAATTTTAAAAATTAAACAGTTTGCATTTCCTACTTGGATGCTGCCTTTGAAGTCTACAGTGTCATCTTTTGCAGGGAAACGGGTATTCAACTGTTGTGAAACATCCAGAAGGTTTATATTAAAATTAATAGCCAATATTAGGTATTAAATTTTCAACATTTTCCTACTTGATTTCTCTGGCTGCAAGGGCTTTTTGTAATTCATATCCATATGAATTTTCATTATTTGGACTTGATGTTCTTACTGCCTGTGAATTTCTTCAATATGGCATGAGACACGCAGTGGCATCCTGTTTTCCTCAGAAGATATGCACAGTTTTCCCATTGCTAAAAGCTGTCCAGATATGTCTGAACAAAATGGGGGAGGGTTGTTTCTAATTTATACATTACAGGGCTTATTACTTGTCTTGTGGCCTCAGAAGTAGAATGTTGTTTGGCTTGTGCCAAGCACTACTTTTATTTAAACAAACAAAAGGCTGATACAACAAGGCTTTATGAGACCAGTTCCAATTAAGATTTCATTTTATTTGGAATTCCAGGGTATAGAAGTCTGCCCAGTGGACAGAGTTACTCTGGAGGAGTTTGGTTTGTGCCTGCCCTCCAGAACAGTGTCTAGTGTTTTCTCAGTTCAGTAGCTGCTGAAGAAGCATGAAACGAGGTCGGGGCCTCCATTCTCAGAATCTAAATTGAGATTAAATCAATGATATGCAGAGCTCAGATTTCTAATCTAGATGTCTGAAGCCACCTATTTAAATACTCACTTTCAAGGTTTTCTGTCTAGGAAAACAGATAAATTGAAGATTAAAAACTAACGTAGTATGTGTTTCACTTGTTAGTAGTTAGGAAATTTGCAAATAAGCCTTTTCTGAATGCTTTGTGTCCTTTCCCATGCAGGTTGTGAGTCCCACCATCAGCTCTCCAGTGTGTCAGGAACAGCTGATTGAGGCAGGGAAACTGGTAGACCGGTCAGTGGAGAACTGTGTGAGGGCCTGCCAGGCTGCCACAGATGACACTGAGTTACTGAAGCAGGTCAGTGCAGCTGCCAGCATTGTCAGCCAAGCCCTGAATGACCTCTTGCAGCATGTCCGCCAGTTTGCAAGCAGGGGAGAGCCCATCGGACGCTATGATCAGGCTACAGATACCATCATGTGTGTCACAGAGAGTATTTTCAGTTCAATGGGAGATGCTGGTAAGTTTCTCTAAGGGACAGTAGCTTTCCATGTTTCAGAGATGTGCACATTTCAAATAATGCAAGTAAAAAACCCCTTCTCTTACGTGTGCTGTGCTTCTAGGCTAGTGCTGTCATGATGGGTAGTCATTCAACCCATAATATTAAATCGGCAAAATGCACATAGCTGCATGCTAGACAGAATGAATGTTCTGTGACAACACTCAGTATCATGTGAAAAGATCACTGTAGTATTTTTGTCTGTTTTCCACCACTGCTTCACTTCACAGAATTGCATAACAATTTCTCATCTCCAAATATGAAGTCAGGTACCTGGGTGAATACGTTCCAGTGATTGATTTTATTATGTGTAGATTCTGTTGTAGATTTTGAAAATTAGCTCTCCTTTTTTCTGTGGTGTTTCTAAAATGTACAGCTTCCAGAACCAACCAAAACTTGAGATGCCTTACATTTAGCCGATCCAATATGCATTTTTAGTAAAGAAGCAGTAAATTACTTAAAATAGTGAAATTTCAATAGTTAAAAATGTTATGAAGTAGCAACAGCATGTAGGGGCAGTATCAACTTGAAATCAAGACAATTAATAGAAAGTTTAAAATGGGATCAGTTTTAAAAAGCAGTTATGGTGAAGAGTATGGTTTGGGTCTTTTCTTTCATGTTGTATGAAGACAAGGCCAGGAGACAAAATATTTCAGTCATAGTTGTATTTACATTACAGTTGATATAACAAGCTAATCTTTTATTGTAGAGTCATCTTAGTTGTTGTGTTTGAGGTAGAAATTTCAGATGATTCTTTTTTTAAGGAACTGTCATTTCAGCCGTGCAGCACTCTTCTAGAGGAACACGTGCAAGGAAGTAATGAGTGAAATTCTAAGTGTATTTTGACCCTAGAATCTTCTTTATGAGACAGCCGAGTGATTAAAATTTTTAAAAGATGCGCAGGAATGGTTGCTAAACCAATTTAATCTTCGCATTGAAAGCTGTGGAAAAACTTTTTCCATGCTCTGTAGCTATCCTAAGGAATTTAATTAGTGTAGATGTGCACAGAAAAGCATGTCAAGTTTTATGTTTAGCTGTCACTCATGATTCAGCTTCTGTACAGAAGGATGCAGTAAAAGAGGTGGCCATTTATTTTCTGTTCACAGTCAAAGATCTTGTTGTGCAATACTTAGGTTTTTTGTAGAAGGCATTCAGATTCCAGTCTGTGTTTCCAACTTATTGAACTCCTGTGGCTGCAATTTTAACAGCAAAGACTTGCTGGCTTGTGACTACTGTATTACTGCCCAATCAGGTTATTCTTTCTGTTCTACTTATTGGCTTAGTACTGTAGGAAAGGGCATTTAAAGGGATTTTTTTCCAAGTGGAATATTTGGACTGGGAGCTGAGTTAGCCATTATTGGTAAAAAATTTAATTGCAAAATTGCATACTGGGAAATAGTTGGTAATAGCTAGAACACTTTTTTTTTTTTCTGTGCTTGACCAGAGGAGCCTGGTAGGAAGCCACTTAATTCTGAAGCCCACAAATCACCTTTGTGTTTGAGAAAAATGCTGCTTTGGTTTTCTTTCCCATGATTTTTTAGAGCATTTGAAAAGAATGAAGCCTTAGACCCAAATAAGTCTTACTTGATTTGATAACCTACAGAAAGCCAAAGGCTTTATGGGTTCAAGTCTATTATGAACCAGATGAATTTGCTCTAGATAGGGTATGTAACCACTTCAGAAGCATTACTGTTTCATCTCTGTGCTTCACCATGACTAGAACATGACTCAAGTATCTTAAATACACACCTTATTTTTGGACAAAACAACCTCATTGGTGCTGAGTCTCTTTCGACAGAGTTCTTCATTTAGTTTTAGACGATAATTCTCCAAAAGAACTTTCTCAAAAGAAGACTAAGTGAAATATGGGTAAGTTTTAATCAAGGAGTGAAGTCTTGGCTGTAATTTGAAAGCAGAATTATTAGTCTTCACTGGCCCAGGAGTTGGCTTGAATTGTATATTCAAAATTACACTAAAGTATTGATTTTTTGTTTTGTTTTTTGTCTTGCTATCTAGAATGCAAATAACTGTTTTTTCTTAATCTCTAGTGTAGCCATTTCGTTCATTTATGTTGCAATCCAAGATTTTGTTTATGAAGCTTCTAAGTTATGAGCTATTTATGTATTGTGTTCAAGTCAAAAGAATATTTCAGCAAATGTAACTTTATTTTCATCTTGAGATGACTTTTGAAACCAAAACTGAAATGCAGAAAGAAGGAAAGTAAAAACAGAATTGTACACCACAGGTGAAATGGTACGGCAGGCCAGAGTGCTGGCTCAAGCAACTTCTGATCTTGTCAATGCCATGAGGTCAGATGCTGAAGCAGAAATCGACATGGACAACTCTAAGAAGCTTCTGGCTGCTGCAAAGCTCCTGGCAGATTCTACAGCCCGCATGGTTGAAGCTGCAAAGGTACCAGGAAAATGAACTAACTTAAAATTGAACTAGCTTAAAATTGTATGGTTATACATAAAGAAGAGATGGTATGTGGGATATTGTAGATAGGGATAGTAGACATGTTTTTTCTTATCCTGCAAATGTTCTGCATTAAATGACTTATGCTAGGTACATTCAGAAGAAACAATTTATTAGTTACCTGGGGTTTTTTTATTTTGTTTTTAAAAACTCTTCTTGCACTGTTTTGCTTGCCTGTGTACAGGGCAGTCACGACTCAAGCCATCTAGGGCAGTTACCACCAGCCGCAACCACTGTGGTGCGAGATCTTGTACCAGTCTACCAATACAAATGGAACAACAAACCCACAGCAACCTTTTACAAATATCTCTTAGAAAAATTGTTAACAAAGCAGCTCTGCCTCTGTCTTAGGAACAGTTTCCTCCACCTGAGCAATCTTGCCTGTGTTGTTGCCCACTCCCTGCTCTCACAAAAGAGGCAAATGCCTAACCTTTTCTTTCCTTTCTGTACTAGAAACCTATTTAAATCCACTAGAGAGGAATATGTTCTTTGAATTGTTTCCCAGATCCTGCACTTAAATGATGTTTACAAATCAGGACCAGCCATTCTGCTAGGGCTCTAGAAGGTCCATATGCCTAGCTACAGAGCATATCCTTGACTTTCTAGTACTTTCCCAGACTTCAAATGGAGAAAACCTACTGGGTTAAATCTCAGGCTTTGGATTGCAGTTACTGAAAGGCATATTGAATTGGGAATCTTAAAAACTGTTTTTTTCAAAACCTACATTAATCTAAAGATGTTACTACAGATCATAGTGGAAGCAGTTTACAAAGGCTTTTTTCCCAAGCACCTAAAGTAGTATCTGAAGCAAATATTCAACTCCTTCCTCAAAGTATCTCATGTATTCAGTAGCAGCCTTGCACTAGCAATAAATTTTCCACTTCAAAATCTTATAACATTTTAATGTTGTTCTAAATTTTGTTAAGATAATATAAGGAAAGTAAAGGCTGATGTAGCAGATGCTATCTGGAGCAAAAGCCTTGATATTCATCTATGTTTTCTCCAGGAACTTTTACTGAAGCTCTGTTCCTCCCCCACCCCCACTCTGAAATTTTGTGCAGGGAGCTGCAGCCAATCCTGAAAATGAGGATCAACAGCAGCGTCTGAGAGAAGCAGCAGAGGGACTGCGTGTTGCTACAAATGCTGCTGCACAGAATGCCATCAAGAAGAAAATTGTCAACAGATTAGAGGTTGGAAACTATATGTTGTTGAATTTTCAGTTTACTCCATTTTAATACTTAGCATCTGTAGATTATTTCAAGCAAGTAGAAATGCATGTGTTTCAGGAAAAGTGCTAAACATAGAATGATAGCACTGTAAGCTCAGTTCCAGAGTACAAGGCTTAGTATTAGAGATGCTAGTATATGATACCATAGTCCTCAGAAAATTGAGCAACTTGGATCACTGATGTAGTAATGTAAGAAATTGACTCAGAAGGCATTTGCTGGTTGCTTAGAAATAAAATTAGAACAGCTGAGGTTTCAAACAGCTGAGCTGAAACTACTTCAGTAGTGTTTTAATTTATCTGTATGATCTCTCATTTACACACAATATCTTTTGGTGCTTTTACTAGTACATCTGCCAGAGTTTCATGTAAACTTCCGTACACAGGTATGTTGAATTGCACCATAGCCAATTAAACTGGTAAGTTATTCAGAGAATCAAAGAAGCAGAAACAAAAGTGAAAAGTTACACCATATCTGGTAGCACAGCCAAAGGGGAGAAAGGCAATCTACTGTGCACGAAGGATAAAATATGTCTGAAGTTTGTATTGTAGGCAAGGTGTGATCTTCCCATTCTCAGCTAAAATGTAGAAAAGACAGATTAAAAAAAAGCCTTTTGTCATTCCTAGTTTCCAGCTGTGGTTTTACAGTAGCCTGATTCAAGTGCAATGAGATTAGACAAACCAGGAGGATCTAAGTAGGTAGCGGTGTTCCAGAAATGCATTTAAATTACTGTATCTGTCTAGAATCAAAAATCAGGAGTATTTCAGGAAATAAAGGCTGATGTCTCAGTTTCCTAACTGCATGCAAGAAAGCTTTATAGAAAGGACTTTTTTGTTTTGCTGTTATAATATATACTGCCTTACAAAGGAGTGAAATGTGTAATGATAAGAATGAACTTCATGCTTGGTTTTATTTAGTGGGCCAGTTAAAGAAAAGTACTGTACAGCATGTTGGAATGTCTTGGATAAATTGAATTTTTAATTTTATAATAGGGAGAGCTTGATAATAAGACTCCTAGACATTTGAAGAAGGCCGCCTCAGTGTTTTTAGACTCAGTAATACCAGTATTTGGTACCTCTGCATCATTGTAGTATCTTTTGCTTTTGCATAGAGCAATCTCAGTAGTCTTTGGTGACAGGTGTTAATATAGCAGTGTGAAGCACTGTATGTACTTTGCCTGTTTCCGCTGACCTTCTTTGTACGGAGCTAATTGATTAGACCATTTCCGGCCTGACTTCTTTTGGTCATATTGCAACCTAAGCTATGCAAGAGTAAGAGCTTAGAATCCTCCTAGTTCCACCTTTTTCTTTATTGGCAAGTTAGTGATGGATAACAGTGTTCAGCTCATTTTCATCTTCAGAGAAGAGCAATCCTGGGTTTGCTTAGGGCAAATCAAATTAAGGGATAAAATGTATTAATCTGTCAAAATTGGTACTGTCAAAGTTACCTATAATATGTATTTCATCCTCTGAATTACTCAGAGTTTTATCACTGATTTAACTGTTTCTTTTTCTCCAAAGATTGCAGCTAAACAAGCTGCAGCTGCTGCTACTCAGACTATTGCAGCTTCTCAGAATGCAGCTGTTTCAAATAAGAACACAGCAGCCCACCAGCAACTTGTGCAGAGCTGTAAGGTAAACATCACAACCCATTGACAAATAACTCTTGAACTCTTGTGTTATGGGGTACTGAAGATTACCTTCTGTAATAATACTGTTGCAACCTCAAAAGGGTATTTAAAACAAACACACAAAACAAAAACAACCAAACAACCAAAACCAGGATCACACACAGTCATCTGTATGAATTCTGGAGAACCCTCATTTATTGTGTTATCCATAGTTTCCATGTGTAGTGCGTGGAGAGCTTCAAAAAGCTGAACTACTTGACTGTTACAAATACCCCTGCAAACACCTTACTAGAAAGGATTGACAGGTTTTTATATATATCGGCATGTATTTGTTGAGTAACAACCAAATCACCTGAAGCAAGTGCTTTTTCAGTGGTGCCTAGCAACAGGGCAAGGGGCAACAGGCACAAACTGGAACACAGGAAATTCCATCTTAACATGAGGAAAAACTTCTTTACTCTGAGGGTGACAGAGCACTGGAACAGGCTGCCCAGAGAGGTTACCGAGTCTCCTTCTCTGGATATGTTCAAAACTCACCAGGACGCAATCCTGTGCAGCATGCTCTAGGTGATCATCTTTTTAGCAGGGGGGTTGGACTAGATGATCTCCAGAGGTCCCTTCCGACCCCTACTGTTCTGTGATTCTTTTGTAGGCAGCTGCCATTTCAATATGAATTTTAAAAAAGTTTTATTGTGAAATAGATGGACGAGGACCATGAATCTGGGCAGTCCAGGAGCAATACACACTTTAGAATGCTCCAGCCATACTGTAGATGTTGTATTGTTAGAAGTCAAGGAAAAGTAGACTGAGGTACTTGTTTGTAAAAGACAATGTGTTTCTGAAAGCAAGGCATTCTCTTGAAAAATCTGTCACCTCCCCTACTAGCATTTGAACATGCAAAGGAGGTAATTCAAAATACTTTGTGTACTTAATTTTGCAGAAGAGTCTTAGATTATCTTGTACGGTCTTTAAACTAATGAGTAGCTTGAATAAAGATTTTTTTTTTTTTAAGTAAAAGAAGAATGTCTTTGAAAAATCGTATTGTGTATTAATTCAGTTCCATGGAATCCTAAACAAATTCTGTGAAGGCACGAGAGTATTGTACCTGTGAATATTACAGTTGTCTTTAAGGGGAGTGGGGAGAGGGTTTGCTTTAGTGTCAGAGGGTTTGGAGTTTTTATTTATGTGCTAAAAGCATCTTCCTTTTGTTTATTATAGAATGTTGCAGACCACATTCCTCAGTTGGTGCAGGGTGTAAGAGGAAGTCAAGCTCAGGCAGAAGACCTCAGTGCCCAGCTTGCTCTAATAAATTCAAGCCAGAACTTCCTTCAGGTGAAGTGAATCAATCACTGCAGTAGATTCCATCAGAGCAAAAAGTATTTTTTAGTGCTGTATGTTTTTAATTGTGATAAATAAGCCGTAAACTGTGAAGAACCATGTAAAGAAGTTCATCACTGACTGTAAGCCATCGCTGAGGAGAATTTGGTTTTTCAGATGAGATGGCTGAAGTACGTTCAGTTGTGGAGAGTGAAAACTGCCAAAATTGAGGGTGAAAGTAACAAAAAACCTGAAATGTATGGAGAAGAAACATTCATAGCTATAGCACTTGCCTTCTGGGAGAGAGTTTAAAGAACAAGATGGAGAGAATTCGGCATCTTTCTATGCAGAGGTCTGAATATGTGAGATGCTGTTGTAACTTTTCTTAGTGAAGGTAAAGTTAGTGTTGCAGCAACAAGCTCCAGAATTCTTCACAAAAAAAAGGGAATATTACCATGGTTTTTCAGATACTAGCCCGCACACATAATAAATCCTGATTGAAGTTTTGAACAAAACACAAAATTTGACTGTGTGCTTCTTCCATAATATCTTTTAAAAAATAGGCAAAATATTGAGCATCAATAGCAAACTATTTGGTTTATTGTTGACATTACAAGAAACAAACAAAAGAAACCAATGCTCCCTGTAATGATATGGTCATTACTTGGCACCAGTTAGTCCTGCCTGAAATGTGGAATGGAAATGAACTCTTTCATTGGTTGCTGTTAGCAGGTTCTTCATGGTCCCATGTAGGCAGAGGTATTGCGAACAGTGCTCTCACTCTGAGTGTTTTGCTCTATGAGTCCGTCTGGAGTCATTAAAGTGATTAATCTCCCCTTTGGCTGTATATGTGTACCATGGTGATGGTGAGCATTGGCAAAATACTTTGATTGTATTAGCAGCAAACCCTGTGAGGAGTCATTGATTGAATATTTTTTTGAGTTTTCAATTTATAGAATTTTGGCAGAGTTTAATATTTAGAAACATTGAGACAAATTTGCCATCTGTGCCACCTGACCTGCTCGTACCCCACAGATGCTGAATGGCAAAACTGCACATTTAAATATTTTTCAGTAGTCTACATGAGTACTCAAAGGCCTGAGGCAGACATTGGTACCAATGAAGTAGTCATTGTACTAGTAAAGCACAAATGAGTCCTGCTGCGGAGGACACGGCGATGTGGAATTATGACAGGATGCAGCATATGAATAAAATGCTTGGATCTAAAGGTGCGTGGTTAAGGAGCAGGGAAATGTATGAAATAGTCATTACAGGAAATCCAGAAACCTCATGAGTGTGTGAATGTAGGAAGCAGTTTGTTTATTGAATCCTAAGCCGCCTTTAAAGAAAATGAGCTGGTAAAACTAGTCATGTTCACTGCTTTTCTTTGAACAGCCTGGAAGTAAAATGGTGGCATCCGCTAAAGCTGCAGTCCCCACTGTGACTGATCAAGCAGCAGCAATGCAGCTAAGTCAGTGTGCAAAGAATCTTGCTACCAGCTTAGCTGAGCTACGAACTGCCTCGCAGAAGGTAGGTAAATACTAGTTTTATTCAGCTGAAGCAAGATGGCTTGGATGGTGGTCACAGGCTCACTCCTGCTTGGTGCACTGTGTCTCCCCCAAGGGAACGGCTCATGCTCAGGCAATGTTCACTTCGCAGCGTTGCTTTTTGTACACATTTTGTTCAGACTTCCAGGTGGCTTCAGTGTCAGAAAGGGGAGGGAGAAGTGGCAAGAGAACCAAAAAGCTCATGCTACCCTTTCCATACCAGAAAGACAGGAGGAGGGTATACCTAGAGCAGCACATCAAAGTTCTGAGCTACTGTTACATTTGAAGGGGAGCGGGTGAAGGGGAGCATATCTCATGCACCTGCCAGACTGGGGAGAACCCAGATATGTCACTGCTCTGGTCAATGTTGTGATTGTGAACTGGAGCTATCATCTCTAAAATTCAGGGACATAGGCTATCTGTGTTTCATGCACAGATTTATAAACTATGTATAGGTTGGTTTGGTTTGGGGGGGGGGGGGTTTGGTTTTTTGGGGGTTTTTTGGTTGGTTGGTTTTTTGGTTGGGGTTTTTTTTTTTTTTAAATCAATGGAAAGTCCATGGGTTTTTTTGTGTGCACTGAGGCCCAAAATCAGGACTGTAGCATATAGGTAGCTACAACTGAGCTAACATTAAAATTTTCAGCTCTGGTACTGATAATTGTGGGCTGCCACATCAGAGTTCAGTGTGACTTTAGTCATGATGCATAGTTAGGCTATTTGTCAAAGGTGAAGTCCAGACTGCAGCAGTTATTTTCTCAGTACCTGGACTGCCTAGCGTGAAGGAATGTGTACACAAGTTAAGTACATCTCATTCCCCTGGTGGCCCTTAACAGTGTGTTATTCTATTCACAAACTAAGAATATTGTGCAGGAGTTTGGAATCCATGGTGTGTATCACTTAAAGTGCCCACAATGGCCTCTAAAGTCATGAGAGCAAGAATTTGGGAGGGGGTGATTATATCTGAAGCATTTGCTATTTCCAGTAGTGGCTTACAGCTGCTAAGAGTGATATTGATCTGATTTCTGAATAGGCTCATGAAGCATGTGGCCCAATGGAAATCGATTCTGCTTTGAATACAGTCCAGACGCTCAAAAATGAACTGCAAGATGCGAAGATGGCAGCTGTGGATGGACAGTTAAAACCTCTCCCAGGAGAAACTGTAATTGAGGAAGGATGTTCTTCATTTAAAAACAAACAAAGTTAGCTGTTAAAAAATTTTAAGTATTAGAGGCAGAACAAGTCAGGAGGCTTTGGATAATGATGACACTGACAGGATTTTGCATTAATTCTCTTAAAAAGAGTAAATATTCCTACCACACCAGAAGCATGTTCTGTAGCAGAATTACTCATAGGACTGTAGGGCCTTTTTCTCTATTGCACAAATTACAGATTAGTAGCAGCGATGTTTCAGTCTTTTCTTGTCAAAAAGAATTTATTTTCAATAGTAACAAAGATAAGAACTCAATAGTTAGTTCTAAGACTGCCAAATAAAACTTTTCACTCTCTAAGCCTACCAGGACTGGCAAAACCTTTCATCTCCTCAGATGAAGGTATTGATTTCCATTGTTAATTATAAAATAGTTTTGCTGTTCGTATTACCTAATATGTTAATTTATTTCACCCTGGACAGAGAAAACAAGCTAGTCAGGTTTCAGAGAAACTCTGTATGTGTTTGGTAGCTGAGGTAAAAGCTTGATTTTTGTGAAATGAGGATTTTTTTTAGTACTATTTCAAAACAAATGTGTTTTAGTTGAGCTTAAACAAAGAATGCTGTCCTTTGCAATTTTTCACAGCTTGAGAAATGCGCTCAGGACCTGGGAAGTACATCCAAAGCAGTCGGTTCATCAATGGCCCAGTTGTTAACTTGTGCTGCTCAAGGGAACGAGCACTACACAGGTAGTTTTATTCATAAAGTCTCTGCAAAACCTCTGCTTTCCATAAAATACTTGATAGAAGGTTTCTTTTCACAAACTACTTAAATCAAGGAATTACTACCTTTTTTTTTATGCTGATAGTGAATTGTGGCAATTTACTAGGAATTGCTAGTGTGAATAATGTGCTTCATAAAAGAATACCGTTGCAATCTGCTGTGTGTCTGTATATAATCAGAATAGAGACATCTGTTGTTTTTGTAAATATATGCCACTGATGCTCTGTGAAGGACAGAACTAAAAGATAATGCAATTAAAAGCTCAGTGCCACTGGAAATGTTGCTATGTCCTTTCAGAAGGTTAAAAGGGTCTTTGGATATTCTTTGAAGCACAGGATGCAAACATACTCGGGATAGTTTGGTGACGTTTAAAACTGCATCTCTTACTGTATGTTACCAGTTTACACGTATAATGCAGCTAGTGTTTCTGACTTGTTGATCATATTTGTATAGGTTGAGTTAAAGCTAACAGGGAATGTAGGCACACAGATTCTGCAATTTGTTTTTGAGCCTATACTTTTAGAAACCAAACCCACCTTAATAAAGAAAATGCTCTTTGCAGGGGGGAAAAAGGTTTGCTCTTAAATGGTAAAATGTTCTGTCTCCTTACTTCGGTAAGAAATGAAAGCTGTTGATGCAAATGCTACTGTAGGAATTTTTTTTAAGTATTACTGAAGAAATGCATTATGGCAGTTACTGCTTCGTTGGATATAATCAGGGCTATGTAACCTACAGCTGCTTTCATTTGAAGCAGATGTAATTGCATTAACATGGCTTATGTTTCTATCACGTAGTTATTCAAAAGTTGGCACTGGGTATTTGGCAAGGGAATACAGGTATTTGTGGCTGATATAAAATAATTGACTCTAGTAGCTCTCTTAACATCAAGCTACGAGAGCTGTTTGGTTGGGAAGTCCTACAAAGCAATGAGTTCCTTTTCAATGCTCGTATAACTATTTTATATCTCATACTGTCTTGGTATGAAAAAACTGTTGTGTGCTCAAGCAAGCACAAGTTTTCAGGTATTATGACATTCTGCTGTTGTGCAGTGATAAAAATTCTTTACAGCTTATATTCACTATTTAATAATTCCCTCTTGTCTGCAACTGTCACAGTTTCTTTTCACTTCGTACTGAAAGTCATTGTAGAGGATGAAAGCAACACCAAACCAAAAGGAAACAATCAGACCTTTTTATTTTGTGGAGCTGTGATAAATTCAGTCAAACTTAAAAGATGCTTACTGGTACTCTAAATAAAGGAAACAAAAATGTGTGGGTATTTTTCCTGAAATATTCTTTAAATTAAGAATGTAGAAAGCTCTTTGTGGTTTGTCAGATAGAAATGTTGTAACTGCAACATAGGCAGTACTATTTCTCTGCCTAGCTTGGCTTTACTTTGATATATATACTATGACTTGCTTTTCATTGTCTTCTAAAGTTTCTGCATTTAAAAAGGCCTTGCACTTGGCCTTGTTGAACTTCATGAGGCTCACACAGGCCCACCTCTCAAGCCTGTCAAGGTCCCTCTGGATGTCATCGCTTCCCTCCAGCGTGTCAACCACACCACACAGTTTGGTGTCGTTGGCAAACTTGCTGAGGGTGTGCAGATCCCACTGTCCGTGTCGCTCCAAAGATGTTAAACGGTGCTGGTCCCAGTACTGACCCCTGAGGAATGCCAATTGTCACTGGTCCCCGTGGTTTCCATATTGGTTTTCATTAAGGGACAAAACAAATTTCAAAAATAGAAGAATGAGACTATTATACAGCCACATGCCTTAGCACTAGAGCTCATGAGCATCCTATAATGTTGGTCAGACAGACCACAGAAACTAATTTCATGATATCCTCTCTGTGACTTCAGTTACTTTCACGTGCTTATGCTCTCAGTGATGTTAGCTTCAATCAAGTTGTATCACTCCTAATGATCTGTCAATTTTTTTAATTGCTTGATCTTAAGCTATTGCTGTGTATATTGTCTAAAAAAATCCAAAGCTGCATTTTTCAGAAGCAGCAGAGATGCTGTGGCTCTGAAGTCATGTACACCGTTCTTGCAGAGAGTTGCTTCCACCCATGGCTTGGAGTATGAGTTTTTCCTCATTTCCAGGTTCTGAATTTTCTTCTTTTTCAGTGCTTCACTAAGATGTAGTCACTGATGTAGAGCTGTGCCCAGAATGTGGTCTTTAGGGTGTAATATTTACTTTATGGCTTTGCTACAGGCGTTTCTCTAGGCAAATGATGCTGTGTATTTCAAATGCGTCCATGTTTGCAGATTTTCTTTTAAACTGCATTTGCAGTGTTGTTTTGTAATGGGTCATTACCTGTGAATTCATCTGTCATAAAATACGAAGATTGTCTTCAAGGGTGCTAACAGAATCATTGATGAAATCTGAACACAGGAGTTGCTGCCAGAGAAACTGCTCAGGCTTTGAAGACTTTGGGTCAGGCAGCACGAGGGGTTGCAGCATCTACTACTGACCCTGTGGCAGCACATGCAATGTTGGATTCAGCAAGGGATGTCATGGAAGGCTCTGCTATGCTTATTCAGGAGGCGAAGCAGGCCCTGGCTGCACCAGGGGATGCAGATAGTCAGCAGAGATTAGCCCAGGTAAGTTGTGACTTCAGCAGCTACATGCAGCTTACCGGTTTCTGAAGGGGGCCTACAGGAAAGATGGTGAGGGACTGTTTATCAGTGAGTGTAGTGACAGGACAAGGGGTAATGGGTTCAAGCTGAAGGAGGGTCGATTTAGATTAGATGTTAGAAAGAAATTCTTTACTGTTCGAGTGGTGAGGCACTGGAACAGGTTGCCTGGCGAGGTCGTGGAGGCCCCATCCCTGGAAGTGTTCAAGGCCAGGTTGGATGGGGCTGTGGGCAACCTGGTGTAGTGGAGGGTGTCCCTGCCCGCAGCAGGGGGGTTGGAACTAGATGATCTTTGAGGTCCCTTCCAACCCAAACCAGTCTATGATTCTATGGTTCTATGAATTATCAAACACCCAGTGAAATTACTTGGAACACAGCATTAAATGAGAGAGAACAACAGAAAATGGCTGCAAGGAATATCAGCTTTCTATTCCTTCCAGCAAGTTTCAGATAGTAACATCATGTTTATGTGAAACAATGCAGATGGTGTGAAGCATGTCATCTTTTAGAAAAATAAACTCATACAAAGATGCAGTTAAGTGCTTTTACCCACAACATATTTGAGTAGGCTGCCTGACTGCAAAAATGAAACAAGTGTTAAAGTGATCATTATCAAATGAAGGATCCGTATTCATCTTATATTCAAAAAGTGAATGCACATCTTCTACACGGGTGGCCACTGCTTTTGAAGAATTTAAGGAGTAACAGGTTCTTTTGTAATGATTTGAAAAGTTGTATAATTGGTCTGTTTTAAGCAATGTCTTATCGAGGAGACATTTGTTTTAATCAGGACTTTGTCAGAAAAAGGTAGCATGCAAAAGATTTCTGTGATTATATATGGTAAACTTCAGGGGCATTATCTTCAGTGCTGCAGCCTTTATCCCAGGTGCCAGGAGCAGTTGTGGAGCTGCCCTGCCAATGCTCTCCTATCAAATGGGTGAGTGTAAATAATGACTACTGCTAGACTACAGGTGAGCAGACCAAGAAAGTTGCAAGCCTCAAAAATGGTCTCCTTAGAATGTAGGAATTGCTGGCTGTAGAATGTGCCTTTTATTAGATAAAAGATCACTTAAGCCTTTTTTGGTGTGGATGTGTTTACTTCTGTGTCGCAGGTGGCAAAAGCAGTGTCTCACTCCTTGAATAACTGTGTGAATTGTCTGCCTGGACAAAAGGATGTGGATGTGGCCTTGAAGAGTATTGGGGAATCTAGCAAGAAGCTCCTTGTTGATTCGGTGAGATGTCTTGTCTTCGGTGAGATGTCATAGAAATAAATTTCAGATCTGGGTTCCCCATGTGTCAAATTATTATTAGTAAATGCACCCTAAGTATACCTGATAAAAGTTTTGTTTAAGTTATGTAAATTTAAGTAGCTGCTACTTTGGCTGAAATGCTGTTGCTCTAGTTTATGGGAAAGGTGAAATGTGTCTGTGGCTTTTGAAGGCAATATTGAAGTTGCTGTCATAGATCACCATTATAGTTTGGTTTTTTTGAAAATGCCAACTGTGACTTAACATTTTGAAGAATATGAAAACTAGGAAATTATAATCCATCTCCCACCTAAAAGGTATCAGTTCTGTTTGAAGGAGTACTGTGATATGTCAATGTTTGGTGCATCTATGGTTTTGTGGAAGGAGAAGAATTGTTATATTTCTGTTTAACTGTATCCATGTAAAAAAAAAAAAAACCACCAACAAAACAACAACAACAAACAACAAAAAAAAACAACAAAAAAAAAAAACTGAGCCCCACACAAAAAAACCCTAAAAACTGTGGTGCACTGGTAAGTTGCTGGAAGGTTATATGATTTGAACAACTTCTTTCTGCACCTACCAGTGATCCTGCTACCCTGTGAATGAAGGAGAAAATGTATTTTGATATGTTTGTGCCATGCCTTTTGATAAAACCAGGTCAGGAGTTTAGTGTCATTGTGAAGAGCTGCCAATACTTGTGTGATGTTCTGGGAAGCTTGTTTGTGGAAGTGAATGATGACTTGCAGACGAAAATTCTCCAACTTTTGCCACTCAGTTCATCACTTCAAATTTCATAGTTGAACCATAAAATATCATCATCTCTGTCACTTGAAAGGCTTACATACTCATCTGTCCCTTGAAAGAAACTGCAGCACTAAGGTCATTGTATAGATTTCTGATTGATATCTCTCCCATAGCTGGACTATTCTGCATTCAGAATCTGAATTGCTAGCCAGTCCAGTTGCAGTACTCTGTTCTAGATTGTATGTGAAGCTCACTACTGTTCTTGAATTGTGTTGAACTTAGCAATTGTGAAGGGCTGGTGTGACGTGACAGACAATAAAATATGGCACTTGGTCTCTCACAGCTGCCTCCAAGTTCTAAGTCGTTTCAAGAAGCTCAGAGTGAACTGAACCAGGCAGCAGCAGACCTGAATCAGTCAGCAGGAGAAGTCGTCCATGCTACACGGGGCCAAAGTGGGGAATTGGCTGCAGCCTCTGGAAAATTCAGTGATGATTTTGATGAATTTCTTGATGCTGGTATTGAAATGGCTGGCCAAGCACAAGTAAGTTTTTTTATCTTGTAAATTTGGAGCAAGGATTTTCTTGGGCATAGATTCTTGCAGTGCAGTATCTTGGTTATCAAGTAGTACAGTACTATGTGCTAGTGTGAGCCTATCCAAATATGACAGGTGATGTTCGCTATGAAGCAGTCATCTGTAACTGGTTATCTGGTGGGAAGTCAACCCATCATTTTTGATTTATGTAGGATATTGGTATTTGTTCCTGTGCCCAGTCAGAAATACGACTTTGTACTCCCCTGTCCAGTTTGGGCTGTTAACTAATTTGAGCTGTATATCTGAAAGTACAAAGGTGTGCTGAACCTGTCAAAGCTTATGGAAAGGGTTGCTTCAGTTTTGGTAGAACTACCATGGAGCATAATTTATGTGAACACTGTTCAAAATTTAGCACCTTTCTTTGCTGATTTTCAAATGCTTTAAGTAGAGGGAGGAAAAGATGCATTTCAAATCCAGAGTTGATATTACTCTATGGTGGGTGCTGCTGTGGACCTGCTACAGAGTGGAGCAAGCATTTGAACAGGGCTGGCTAAAATGCCATGGATCTGACAGCAAGCACTTGGACTTCTGTTTAGTGTTGTAAAATCTGGCAGAGTTCTAACTCAGTAACAATCAGGAATGTTGTCACGTATTACCTAGCTTATTCCTAGAAGTCTAGGTAGTCATTTGAAGATATCTCCTCCATTTTATCTTAGTGGGTTTAGGTGTACTGAATGACTCTAATTGGTCATTTGGAGAGGATTTAGCATAGCAAATGTCAGCATATAAAAAAGGTCATGTACTAGGAGAGCTAGGACAACTTGCAGAAAAAAGAATCTACAGACTGTTTTGCCCTAGTTAGTAGGAGGAACTTGCAAACCTAAGAAATGATTGTCAAAAGAAAACTAGCCAGAAAGCATTGAGTGTGCCAGGCCTTTGAAGTCATTTATGAAGTGTCTTTGTAGAGCAGATGCTTTGTAGATAGACCTGAGTAGAGAGAACAGACAGTAACTGGTGATTGTTCTCCATCAAAACTTAATCATTCAGGTTTCAGATCCATGAAGTGAGTTAGGCACCAAATATCAGCTGACTCTGTGAAACTGAGTAGGAGTTAGGTACCTGACTGTCTCTTTAGCCATGGGCCTCATTGACTTTTAGAATGTTTTGTTTGAGGCAATTCAATGAAGTCAAAGGTAGAAATGATGCTGCAGATAGCTACTTGAAAAGATAATTCCATCTGCTGATGACCTTGTGGCCCTTGCAGATTTGCTTATCCTGCTGACATAGGGGATGATAAACATCTAAGTTATTAATGGCCGATCTTTCAAAAGAGAATGCCTTCTGTCTCTGTCTAGTTATTTTGCCTGAACAGAAGCAATGCGAGGTATTTTGGATGCCCAGCAAAACGTTGGGATAGGGAGGAAGCATAATGTGAATATAGAGTAAAAGCTAGTCACTTCAGCTGAGAAACATGCAAGCTCTTTACATGAAACCCTGAACAGCCTGTTGGAAATGCACTGCCAGGGATCATTGACAGAAGAATCTAGTCACAGCTATTTACTGTGATAATGCAGTACTTCCCTGTAATTGCATGTATATGCAGGTTTTCCTTTTCAAGCAATGGCTTAAAATAAGTAACAGAACATCCAAGTTGGAACATTTACCAAAGCAGGCTTATAGAATCATATTTTCTCAGGATAGAGGACTTTCTGGAGGGATCTTTCTGTGTGAGTAAAGATGTTAGCCTGTGGGTTACACAGAGGATGCTAGAATACAGAGAGCGTACACTGACCGAATAATGTGGATCAGTTGTGCCAGGCAGAGATGCATGAGAGTCTTGACAACAAAAGCGTTGTTCAACAAGTAGTAAAGTTTCTCCGTTGCTCATTTGTGAATACTGTCATTGTTAGAAACCAAGCTAATTGTTGTATGGGTTTCTTTCTCTGTTGTGTAAGTGAAGCTAGAGCCACCTGTCCGGTGAACAGAGGCTTTGGTACACGTCCTTCTCTGGACTATGGTCTCCCGCATGTCAGTTGTTTCAGGTGGATAACCAAACTGGATTTCCAAATGTGGTTTTAGCACACTCTCTTTTTTGAAAATTCTGCATTTAATGTTATGCTGCTGTGGTTTTCCAGACTAAAGAGGACCAGATTCAAGTAATAGGTAACCTCAAGAGCATCTCCATGGCTTCCAGTAAGCTGTTACTAGCTGCCAAGTCTCTGTCTGTTGATCCTGGAGCTCCTAATGCCAAGAACCTCTTAGCAGCAGCAGCAAGGTAAGGATGTTTTCCTAAGATATTTGCTTTTCTCCGTGGTATTTATGATGTGTTTATATATTCTTCTGCTATTGACAGTTAACTGAGCGGTTGGAACCTGCAGTTCTATTTAAATGAAAGTAGGCTGGAGGAAAGCTGCTTATTTTGGAGTAGTTCCTTAACTGGCATAAGTTGTTACCTTTGAAAATAAAAAACAGTAGTTGAAGAGTTAGCCTAGTTTTTGAAAGGGACTGATGTCTTTTACCTACTTTTTTTTACCATCTGTGGTCTGACAAGGCAGTAGCTAACAGAAAGCCTCTCAATCTCTAACAAAGAAAAGAAATTGAATAATGTTCTTATATAGAACGTGCTTTAAAATCATGTTGTGGCTACCTGTCACTAACAGTGTGTATGTGTGTATGTTCAAGAGCGCTTGAAAGGGTTAGGTGCTGTGTGTATTTGGTGGAAGATACCCTTAAGGATTCTGTCAACCGTGCCCCAAATTTAATCTTGTAGACCCTGTTTCTCAGTCAAGGTGCTCAGTGTTTATGTGAAAAATAACACTGCATTTCAGTGTTTGGCTGGATAATCACCTCCCTTTCACTTTGTCAAATCCTTTTCACAATTATTTTTTTCCAAATTAAGTTTTTATTTAATTATCGCAGTTTGTAAATGCAATGTTGAAATATCAAACTGGAAGGGGACTGCTGAAGGACAGATAGACTTCACACCTGTAGTGTGATACCACACCTATAGTGGATAGATATCCACTCCTTTAGTAAAGGACTTCTTAAAGAAGTTATACTACTTTGTCATATTTGTTTTAAAAAAAATAAAAAAAGTCTGACATCCATCTTGTCTCCCTGGGAAGAAATAGCTTCTAGGAAAATCGTAGGTCATCAAAGGCACGCTGCTTAAAAATGAAGGAGTTGCATGAACATTTGTTATTGCGACAACATCAGACTGCTACAGACTTATGCTTTAGGTTTGGAGCATAGAAGAAGTTAGCATCCCCAGTGAAGCCCAGTTAGTTGTTAGTTTCTGCGGGGCTAGTATTCCCTCTGTAGAAGCACGTAATTTAAAAAAAAAAAAAAAAAAAAAGAGAGACACAAGCAATGTAGAGCCTTTAGATGTTCTGTTTTGCAATGCTGTCAGCATGAGTATGTATGCATGCGTAAGACTGTACATACACATTAGATAACCATGAAAAGTACATAAAGTATCACTTCTCAGCTTGTTTTAAAGATGCTAAGGAGACGCTTTATTTCCCTTCTCAAATCCTCTGTGGGTGCTTGTGACAAGCTTGCCAGGATTCTGTTCTTTCCCTGCTATGCTTTGCTTGAGGTCAAGTATTTTTACTTTTTTTCTCATGAAAATGAAAAGAGGTGCAGCTTCCTTTGCTTCCTGTTTATAAGATGGCTTATCTTTTCATTTTCCTCTGTTCTACAGTACTGTGATTAATCTGGTATTTTCTTTCCTTTCTTCCCCCTTTGTTCCAACTGTAGTAGACACTCCAACTTTTTCAGTAGCTTTGGCCTTCTTGTGGAGGCATTTTTCTTTACTTCCTCTGACAGTCTTAGAGGACTGCAACAGTGGTTGAGTTCCCTACAGGATCCAAGTATTTCTATGCTGTATTTGATGGAAACAAAGGTGGCTTCTAGAGTCCTAGCAGTCGTCTTCCACTCTGGGCTTGGCATTTGAGGGGCCATCTTCCTGGTTCTACTGCTTCCAAGTAGTTTTAAAAGTAATGCTTGTACGTGGATGTATTCCTTGATACAGGTACCTGCTGTGTAATAATGATATTCATGAGACGACAGGGCATCCTGTACAAAGCTGACAATTCTAGTCTCTTATCGAGTCGTGGGTTTTCTCTGTAATCACTGATATTGAGATAACGTGCATTGTCTGTCTTTTAGATTAAAATCAACAGTGGACAAGATATTTTTGCATTAAGTTTTTCTGGGACTGAACAGAACCTTCCATTTTTGCCATCTATTCATATGTCTGTGTGCAATGACATTTTTCTGATGCATAGAAATCACTGATGCTCAGGAGGTTGAGAATCCATCATTTGTATTGATGTTTTGTTGGTGAAGCCATGCATGTTGTTTTTCAGAGATAGATAGTACTTACAAAAATATTTGTATACACACACATATATTGACTTGGAGAATATCAATGATTAGTTAAAGAAAAAACCCAAACTGGATAATAGTCTATATAAATATATAGCAGGACTACATGTGTATAATACAGTATGCCAGATAAGGACACAAGACATGCATATGTAGCAGTCCTAAAAGGAGGAGGAAGTTGGTGAAAATGGCTTCACAAGGACACCAAAACTACTGGGAAAGGTAGGAGTCTCAGTTAAACAAATCTGTCTACTAGTTTCCATTCTTCTTGCCCTGGAATTAAACATAAAAGCTGGTGTATGTGTAAGAAGCACATCCTCTTTCCATTTGCAACAGTATGATACCATCCATCTATGTAATCTTGTTATTGATGTTACCAATCATGTTACCAAGTGCCAGTTTTCTTAAAAAAATCCAAATGCCATGCAGAGTTTTCAAGGCCAGAGGAAAGCATATTCTCTATGTGCTCTGATTTCCCTCATTTTCTAAACTGCTGCAAGAAACAACACAAAAAACTTGCATTCCACTATAATGTCACATTACAAGCTAAGTTTTTGCAAATTGGTGACAACATGCCTAGCCTACAGAAAATGATCTTTGATTAAATAACAATGAATGGCATTATACTTCTTCCTGCAAAGCCTCTTATTTTAGAAGCTACATTCCTATGTGGTTAGACGTTAGTCTAAAATCAATGTAGGTGTAATGAATTTTGCTTAATATCGGAGCATTCATCAGAAACACAAATAGTCACTATATTGTACATCAGATTGGGCCTGTGCTCAAGACCACCAGAACTGTGAACTCCCATAGAAACATAACACAAAAATATCTTGTTCTTTGTGGATTTAAACCAAAGAGAGCTGATGCATGTTGACTCAAAGAATAGTAATGATTAGAGGAGAGAGAAAACAACTTGATAACAGACTATAGAAACATATAGCAGGATGATACATGTGTGTGTAATACAGTATGTCAGACAAGACACAAGATTTTGCTAGCAAAGGCTATATAATATAACTTTACATTCAAACCTTTTTTTTGACAGACTGGCCACTTGTTTCTCCATCTCTTAAGGCTTCTGGGGTGGTAGCTGAGCAATGATTCAGTTAATAACAGACCTGGAAAAGTGCTAAAATAACTTTTAGCAACTGAACTGTGTCACTGTGCTAGTGTAGCGGGTTGACCTTGGCCTGCTGCCCTGTGATGTTTTGCCCTTTCTTAAAGATGTTCTCCCAGAGGTGCCACCAGCTTGGCTTCTGGGCTGAGCTGTGTCCTGCGGTGAGTCTGTTGGAGCTGTCTGGAACCAGCTGTGCCTGGCATGGGGCAGCCCTTGGCCTCTTCTCACAGAGGCCACCCCTGCAGTCAGAACCTTGCCACAGACACCCAATGCACTTCCTGCTGTGAGATGAAGCTTCTGTTTCTTCTGGACTGACTTCTCAATTGTTTGCACCGAAGGGATAGATTTTTCAGGTCGAATGTTTTAGTGAGCATTTTTTTGCTCCTATGAAGCTTGTTAAAGAAGAGGTCTCTAGCTGAACTGTTTAACATAGGGTTAATCCCCAAACACTGAAAAGAAAAAAATTAGAACATCAAAGTTTTTGAAGTCTTTATGTAGTGTGCAGTTAATGAAACAAAAGTTTGGAATGGTTTAACTTTAAAAAATATACTGTTTTCCTTCTACTCTCTTTAGAGCTGTGACCGAGAGTATAAACCAGCTTATCACACTGTGCACCCAGCAAGCTCCCGGGCAGAAGGAATGTGATAATGCACTCAGAGAACTGGAGGTATTACTACATTTCAAAAGTTCTTATGAATAAAAACGGGCCCAAAATGTTTGTTTCCTTTGTCCAATTAGCTGCTGCCACTATCTTTTCAACTGATATCTGTGGCAGGGGTTTTAATTGTGTACGAGGTAAGCATAGAACTTATGTGAACATCTTGTAGTTTTGGCCAGAATGAAATTTGCTGCCCTGTCCCCATCTCCTCTTCCCTGCCTCTCAAAAGGTACAGTTTAGTCCTTATTATTCATACTGGCTGTGAAAAAAGGAAGAATCATGAGGAGATGCACATTCCCACTACCATCAGTGCACTGGAGGGAGCTGCAGTATCTCTGTTTCTCTGCTTATAGAATGTTGTTACTGACATCTCACTTTAGGATGACGTTTATCATCTTTTACCCTGTTGCTCCCTGCTATTTCTTAGCGTAGATTTTTGATGCCTTGTACCTGCTTTGCCATGGCCAAGCTGATACCATGTGTGTCAATACAGGTTTTTGCATGGTATGTTCTGATTCATGAGTGAAATGTTTGGCTGGCTAAACAGTGAGTATCGGGTCAGTTGAAAGACCTCAATCTAAGGCTATGCAGTTATCACAGAGACAGCTGCTTACAATAGCAGTAAATATTTTGAAATAAGTGAAGTGTTTGTTTGCTGTCGAGGTCAGAACATCAAGGGATGGCTGGCCTGTGTAAAGAACAGAAAACACCTTCAAGCTTTTTACTTCTACCCCTTGGTATCAAAAGGATACAAAGGTGATTGCAGTGCTTTTGTAATATGCCAGTCCATAGTCATCATCCCAAAAAATTGGTACAAGTTTGGCTAGGAGCTGCTTTGTACTTCTGAAGTCTTAATTTCTTGACCCTAGGTTAAAGGGAGTGGCAGCAAGTCCAAATAATAGAAAGAAAAAACTGGAAATCAGGCTGTAATGTAATGGTTGCCTGAAATCACTGCAGAATGTAGGGGTGGAGCAAGCAGGGGGAATGAAGCGCCATTTCTCAGGACTTCCTCAGAGACAAATGGGGAGAGATCTGCAAAACAGCAGGGATGTGAAAGGTCAGAATTCCCAGCTAATGAGCCACAGGAAACTAAGAGCTTAGGGGTGAAAAATAGGGCAGAACAGCCTAAAAAAGTCATTGCAGAGGGTTCTGTGCCAATAGCATGGATTGCGAGTAGAGCCCAGGCAGAAGGAAGATCTGTAGAATCTTGAATGTCAGGAAACACTTGGTTGAGGGGAAAATTAGCAAGAAAAACCTGGGTGTATGAAATGAGATTAATTTCAGAGAAAAGGGAAACTGAGGCAAAACTGCACAGTCCTGAAACTAGATGGATATCAAAGTGACCTGAGGAATCTGTCAAATTTTGGGGAAAGCATTCTCAGTAGTCTTAACTTTCAATTTCTCTTTACAGTAATTTAACCTCTTACCTCTTCCCTTCATTTCCTCAAATCATAGCCTACCATTTCTAGTCTCCCCAAGGCTTCTTAGAAGTACTAAAAGGTACTATTTCTGTAGAAAGGGTATGTCTCAGTTTGGATTTGACAAACTGTAAGTATACTCTGTAGTTTTCTGTGAAGACTCTGGAAAACTGTGTTTAGAGAGGACCTTACTATATGATCTCCAGTGAGATAGCTAAACTTGCTCAGAATTTCAGCTGAAAGGATTAACAAAGGTGTTCTAGTTGCAGGAAGTTGTGCTGGCTTCTGTCTTGCTCTTCTGTTTCTTTATGTTCCAAGGGCTTCTGACTCCATAGTAGTGCAAGTATTGCAGGAACATTGTTTGCTGTACAAGTTGTTATTTACAGATGGAGCACAAGAACAAAGAGTTGCTGCAATGTCTGAGGAACTGAGAAAGAGATGAGAGACAATTGGAAACTGTTTTCTAGATATGACTTCTTCCTCACATCACCTTGTTATCACAGTTTAGTTGCTGTAAGGCTCTAATTCAAAGTATAGCTTTTAAAAAGCAATAGCTGAGCTGTTAAAAATATTGTAGGTGTATCTTAGTGTTAGGAGTTTAGTTATAATGAAAGTCTAAGGGTTTAAAATCTTGCCTAGATTTCCTGCAGGTGGAAGGCAAACATCAGATACAGATCTTAGTGTCTTTCTATACTTACTGATTTCACTTTCATCAGAAAGACTAAAAGTCTTTTCTACCCGATAAAGTATTCTGCCAAACTTGAAAAAAAGTCATATTGCAGATTATTTTTTTTAAGTATAAGAGAATTAGTTTACTGCATTTTACAGCTTTTTACTGTTATCTAAATGCATTGAATCTTCTGAATGAATACGTGATAGACTTGGACGTTAATTCCTGGAATCATAATCACCTCAGACAAATAAATTAAACACAGCTCGTATATGTAGTTTTCTGGCAGAGGGAGCTATGTTGGTGGAATCTGTTGACAGTAGTAAGAGGCCAAGTGGGTGGCTGATTTGCACTTAGTTTGGTAGCCATTTGTGTCTAGACAGTAGTCAACAAATGGTAGCTGATATTCCTATCACTCTTGTAATTGCATTTATGAAATTGAAATAGTACCAAGAATATGTATTAGACTGACAACTGACAGAAAAGCGGATTACCTCGTGTCAGCTGAGCATTGTTGGCCATAAGTCACTTCTCACAAACACAAAGTAAACCACATGAGCCTATACTTCCAACAAATTTGTGGTGGGAAAATGTGTAGTTACCACAGTTCAGTTTATGTACGGTAGCATGTAATGTGGAACACACTCATCGGTATGTGAGTACTCAGTGAGCATGTAGTTTTGTGTGCTTGCTAGAGACAAAGTTGTAAGATGACACTGGTATAAGCAGAATAGTTGTGATGGTCTGTGTTCTTCTCGGGTCAATATTTCAGGCTCTGTCAATAATCAGAGTATGTTTCATTATTTCAGACAGTGAAAGGAATGCTGGATAACCCCAATGAACCTGTGAGCGATCTCTCATATTTTGATTGTATTGAGGGCGTGATGGAAAACTCAAAGGTAATTTCCTTTTCCCACCTCTTTGCCAATTGTAGAGTGCGTTTTGATTATCAGAAGTTGCCACATGCCTATCGAACATGTTAGAAACGCAGCATGGTGTTTACAGCTAAAATGTGTGCTGCATTCCTTGATAAAACTCAGCCTGAGGTGGGTCTCTTGGAGGTAATTTCAGGGTTTGGTCACTGAGAAAGCATATGGCCTCGGTAAGAAATTTGTAGTTAAGCAACTGATATGCAATGCTGTTAGTTTCCCTCTCTCCCTTCATCTTCCATGTATGAGACAGCATGTCATACTTTCATGATATATTTTGACCGCAGCTGTGTTAAAATGGACCAAAGCATAAATGGGAGGCTTGGCTATGAAATACCGTTACATCATTCTGTACAAAACAGCTTAGAGAAGTGTCTGAGCAGTCCAGATATTCTGGCACATCAGAAAATTTGTGTGAAATCTCCTAAGTTATTTTTGAACATAGCATGCTATACATGTTTCTTTGAAGCTTTGATTTTAGTGTCCTTATTATTTGATGTGTTGAAATTGTCTCAGATCCTCCCTTCTCAAAAAGGAAAAGAAAGTGCCTAGTGGATATGCATATCATCTTACATCTAATGTTCTAGTGCAGGCAGATCTTATTTTGAATTTTAGATGAAAATAAACTGAATTCCATGGGAGACACTGTGGGAATTAATGTATATTCTGACATTGTGACAGTTCCAGCAGACAGATGCGTTGTCATTTCCACTGAGTTTCAGTGAGTTTAGGGGCAAAGAAGATCCCAGATGTGTCAACGGCAGCTGCGCGATTGGTTGTCATGTTCTGTGATCCCTGAAATGTACCTAGTGCCAGGCTAGCTATAACGACTCCTGGATGACAGTGAAAATAATGAGGGTTAATTCTGTATCCTTCTAATGATTTGAGCTATAATAGTGCTTATATTCAGCACTGTTAATCCAGTGTTGATCTGCATGCCTTATCCCATATGCCACACAGAGGAACATACTCAAATCCATGAAGCAGTTAGCTTCCAGATTTTTTAGCTAGTTAAGTCAGAGGGGTATGGGCTAGAACTGGCTAAAGGCCAGGAATCACTTGCCTTTGAGTGGTAGGGAAGCACATTGGGAAGGTAACTTTGTCTTTTAATTTCTGAGGTTCTTGGAGAATCAATGGCGGGCATTTCCCAGAATGCAAAAACTGGGGATCTTTTAGTCTTTGGAGAATGTGTTGGAGTTGCATCGAAGGCTCTTTGTGGCCTCACAGAAGCCGCAGCTCAGGTAAGCTACTGAAGTCTGTAAAGCAATACCTGTTTTTTTGTTGGGTTTGGGGATTTTGGGGGGTGTTTTCAAAGCTTATGTTGTGGGTGCGTAAATCGGAGATTTACTTCCTTATGGCCAAGCAAATTATGACCTCGTACTCCACGGCGTGCTCTGTGTAGATCCACAGAAATTGTGGAGACACTGCTGTATGTTGCAGAAGCAGCAGAGTGCAATAACATGCATATTTTATAAGGAAGGGAAATGACATCAAGAAGGAAACTTTTCTGAGGATAAAGCAAATGTCAAAGCTGCAGCACATGGAGTTCATGTTTGCAGCTCAAGCTCTGAGCTCTTACATCATAGAAAAGCACACAAAAACCAGCCACAGTTAAAATGAATGAAGCAAGGTTGATTTAGTTAGTAAAAATTCATAAAGGAGCACTAATTTCAGACATTTGAAATAGTAAGCAACCTGTTTCAGCTGTTCAGATACTTTCGGAATAACCAAAATTCTTAAGCTACAGCCACAAATCAGAGTCTGGAACTGGTCACTGTGGTTTCACTGATCTGATAACTGGGTGACTTGAACTATTGACAGCTGATACAGCCTCTTCAGTGAAGGATTTGGCTGTGGGGAATCATGTTCCACATCTGGAAACCACTTCTTGATTTCCCCAAATACGAGATGTCTCAGTAAGGACTTAATCTCCTCCGCATCTAACCCTGTGTTGCCTTACTGGCATATCAAGGTGACACATAATTGTATCTGAAATGGAAATTCATCAAGAAATCTTTGAATATGATTTTGACAGTTCAGACAATTCCTCCTTGTTGAGAGGCATGAATTTTTTATTTAATTGAGAAAGAAAGTAGGGTTGGCCATCAGACATGTTGAGCTGCACTGAGACCATCAACTACAGACTCCACAGGTCCTACAGTGAGCAGTAGTGCATTTGCTGTGAATTGGTCTTCTACTCAGCCTTGACAAAAACCCTCACCGCCTCCAACTGTGGCTACTCCAGTAAATAATTTGCTGATGCTTGTGACCAGTAAAGTACTTTCCATTGGGTATGCAAGTGAAAAATAATGTTTCCAGGGATACCAGCTGCTTAAACAGTGGAGAGTTTTGTTTTGACTAAATATATTTTGTAAGGGTAAGTTGTCTTGGTTTCAGAAGATTCTGGAGATTTATTACCAAAAAAATGGTAATAGTACTTCACAGTACGATTTCTGGATAATCTCTGACCACCATGTGCTATTACATATGGCAAGCTTATCAAAGAACCAAGAGGGATTTAGCATTGTTTCTGAGGATTGTTTTCTTCCTTTCTCCATTTCTAGGCCGCTTACCTGGTTGGCATTTCAGATCCAAACAGTCAGGCTGGTCAGCAGGGTCTTGTCGATCCAATTCAATTTGCCAGAGCCAATCAAGCAATCCAGATGGCTTGCCAGAATTTGGTAGATCCAGCAAGCAGCCCATCACAGGTGATTCCAGAAGATTGCAGTGAGACCATCATTGTTAGGAGACATGACTTTGCTTTTTTGTGACCAAGCAAAGGAGTTTTGGTTTGAAACCATTGCATGGCTTTGAACTGTGACTTTGCAGAGCTTGGGTAGAGTAACCATCATGCTCATTTGATAATGCGCTTGTTTTGTGCCATCTATTTTTACAGGTATTATCAGCTGCCACAATCGTGGCCAAACATACTTCTGCTTTGTGCAATGCTTGTCGCATTGCTTCATCAAAGACAGCAAATCCTGTTGCCAAGAGACACTTTGTGCAGTCTGCCAAGGAAGTTGCAAACAGCACTGCTAACCTCGTTAAAACTATTAAGGTACAAATGCTGCTTACTTGTGCTTCCTTCTTGCTTTGTGGTTTCGTTTTGGTTTTGGTTTTTTTGTTGTGGGATTTTTCCTACAGAGACAGAATCAGAACAGGTAGAAATATCTTTTTACCTTCTGTGATATGTATGGTTTAAGAAATCATTACTTATGTTTTTGAAGACCTGAACTGGAAAACATGTGTAGTGGTATAACAGTGCCACAGTCAAGATGGAAAGAATTGGGCAATATTAGTGTTAGGAGAGGCAAGTGGCCTATCTTCTATGAGACACCTCTGCATTGATGTACTTGTTGAGCTTGCACTAACAGAAAAATTTGTAAGCAACTGAATGTGAAGGTTTCATACGGTGTTACATTGCTCAATATCCAGAGGTTCGAGGAGGTATTTCTGATAGCTTTACCATATTTATAAGAGAAAAATAAAGAAACAAATAATACTGGGAACCAAAAAGAAGCCATTTATGTTGCTGCTGTTTAATAATCTCCTGTTAATGGTAATCTTTTATTTTCCTGCAGTTTGGCAGGAGGTAGTTTTTTGTCACACAAGGAGAAATAACACTTATTAAGCTGTAGAGGACTCAGGATTCTAAAGCCTTTTGGAAGCCATTAGCTGATCTGCTACTGAAAGTCTTTTAAAATAATTATGCTCTTAGGACTGGAAGGTTCTATTATGTTACACAGAAGGTCCTTCACATGGAAATCTTTCCTATGAGATTATGAGAGAGATCAGTTGATTTGTGTGAAAATGAGAGCAAGAACTTATTGGTTTGCTTACACACAAAAAAAGAAAAAAATTAATACTAAAAATCAGTCTCAAGGAAATAACCACCTTGTTAGCCACTCTCACCCTTTGGAGCATGAGGTGCTGAGACACGATTTACGAGTCATCACAGTTTGACGAGAGAAAATCTTTATTCAATCCTGTGAAGCAAAGCAGGAGTTTTAAGTTTAGGGTCACTAAGCAGCTAAGTAAAAAACCACAGGCTCAAAGGATCACATTTAATGCATCAGCCTTGTTTGTGGAGGAACCTTTCACATGTCATAAGCACACAGCAGTTTAAAACTCTGAAGAATTAAGCCATCTTTGTTCAATTTTTCAAAGAAACCTATTCCAACAGAAATCAATCATGATTTAATTTCCAGGCCCTGGATGGTGATTTCTCTGAAGAGAACCGCAACAAGTGCAGAATTGCTACTGCACCTTTGATAGAGGCTGTGGAAAATCTAACGGCATTTGCTTCAAATCCAGAATTTGTCAGCATACCAGCACAGATCAGCACTGAGGTAAGGCAGGATGTTGCACTTGCACCCTCAAAAAGTTGAAAGTGTTGAATTAATCATGTGTTGGGAGAGAGGAAGCAAGTGTGAAGACCTGACCCCGAAATGTCTCTCTGTGTTCCTGGGCGTTCATAAGGCATTCTGCTGTCTTTTGCTTAACCTCTGACCTTGAATTTTGCACCAGTAGGATAAAACTAGTTAGGCTACAGTAAGCGCTGCCAGTCTTCTATTAGTAAAGTGATACGGTACAGGTGAATCGCATGTCTTGTTAGCTGGATTCTTCCATGAGATAAAGTAATAAATATCCCTTTTTCCCTCAAGAGGAACTTTAACAAATGGAACCTAATGAGGTCTGAAAAGGATTGAAGGGATGTTGCTGGGGTTTTTCCCCTTCCAAAAATGATGCAGTTGTGATGACAAGATGCACGTTTTCTGGGAAGAATAACTTTCTGTGGGCCTTCTGTATTTTTTTTCCTGAGTTCTCTGTAGTCTTCCCCTGTAACTACAACAGAAAGATAGTATTTCAAAGTAACTAACAAAGGTTTTCTTGGGGTGGGGGGAGCGGGCAGGAGGGGGATAATAAAAGAAATCCTTTAAGCTTCATAACAGCTTCGAAGTAGAGGTCATGTATCGTTACTAACTCTCCAACTGCTCCTTCCTGCTTTGGCAGCCTTGGTTCAAGCTGGCAGTATCAGACAAAGCAGTTAACTGTTGCAGTCTTGAAGTTGTGGGGCTGTAACTGAAATCTAAGCCTGTTCTCCAGGCCTGTGGTACTTGGGTTTACAAGATTACTGGTGATAAAATAGATATGGAGGTGATGAGCCAATTAGAGTGTTGTAGTTGAACTAATTTCTGGGAAAAGAGCACGCTTGGTTGGTCTTGCAAGTTTTGTGACAAATAAAGTTTCTTTTCAATGATATGTCTGTAGTCTACAGTTAGACAAGCGTCATTATTTTCTCCTGTTTCTCAGCTGGATGGTGCTGTTCTAAACCTGAAAAGTGTTTCTTCAGTATGTTATAGAGAAAATGGTTGGACTGCAATGATTTTTGTACTATTTCTGTGTTGACTATCTGTGAATATAATAGTATGATACGAGCAATTATAATGCCATTGTAATGCTGTTAACTAAACAGACTTTTAGGAGCAGAAAGCGTGGAGAAACTCGGAATAATTGTTTAAATGTTCTTTGTGGTCTGGTATGTTTCTGACCACAGGGATCACGAGCACAGGAACCAATTCTAGTTTCTGCTAAAACAATGTTGGAGAGCTCATCTTTATTGATCAAAACTGCTCGTTCTCTGGCTATCAATCCAAAAGACCCTCCTACATGGTCCGTACTAGCTGGGCATTCCCATACTGTCTCAGATTCTATCAAGAGTCTTATCACCTCCATCAGGTATGTCTTTTGGAGTAACTTTTTTGTGTCTGCATTTAAGCCGTAATAATTGAGCAGTTGTTCATAAAGAATAATACCATATGGCCATTAGCAACATGGTACTTTTTTACTAATGGAAATTGTTCTGTGATGCACAGTATCTCCCCAGTTATACCGGGTGTTTAATTATAACTGCTGATTGCAGCACTCTGCAGCACAGGGTTGTTGTTTGTATTCTGCTCTCCTTCCCTGGTGCCACCTCCGATTCAGTTTAAGGTAAATGTAATAGAGAATGCTGTAGAATAAAAAAGGTCTAGAAAACTACCTCCATCCAGATCACATACCAACATAAATTATGTTGAAAACAGCATTTTTTTTTAAGGTGGATGAGACAGTGTATAAATTACCTTTCCTACCTATGTTTTTGCTATAGCGTTCTCAGTGTAGTTGCAAGAATGCTGTAGCAAGAAGTGAACATTATTTTTTGAACTAAACCTGTTTATCTCTTCACTATTGAAAATTTACAAGTGTAGTTCTATACTTAACCTCTGAATATTGATTAAATCAAAAATGTATGAAAACAGTGAACTAAGGAGCGTTTTCAGTGTCATCTATCTTTGATAATGATTGTACTGAAATAACAAAGTGCACATCAAGACAGAGTAGTTGGAAACTAGCCTTTGTTTAAAAATACCTTGGACTGTATATAACACCTACTGCCGAGGGAATTGTTTTCCTGATCGCGCTATACAGAAACGTGAATATTTTTTACTGGTGTCTCCTGCATTTTCGTGTTGACCTTCATTATTGGGCCAGTCTGGCCATCCTGAGGAGGTGGAATTTGCACTTTTCTGAGGCAACAATTTTTTTTTCTACCTAAATATCAACAGGAGCACACGAAAGTATGTAGAGTACTCTGTCCATGCATCAAAATCCCGTAGGTAGACAAAAGCTAACTTTTGTCCTCGTTGCTTTCCTCCCACATGCTTTACGTATTGGCAGGTAACGAAGTACGCTTGCGTGCGTTCGAGAAAGAGCCTGCTTTCTGCCCGGCATGCTCAGCTTACTATCTCTGTCTTGCAGGGACAAGGCCCCAGGCCAGCGAGAATGCGACTTCTCCATTGATGGGATCAACAGATGCATCAGAGACATTGAGCAGGCCTCCCTTGCAGCAGTCAGTCAGAGTCTGGCCACTAGGGATGACATCTCAGTTGAGGTGAGAGTGATAGCACAGGAACAGAGTGAGTAATGCTGAGCAGCCTCACGTACCACATTGTTTTCCTTTCCATTCGAAGATCTGGAAAGCTGAGCATACGGCACAATCTACCGGTGAGGGGAGAAGTGTTCTTACCGGAATCTTTTTAGGCAAAATCACATGGTGGTGAAAGGGTATTGCTTTTGGACAGATACCAGGCAAAAGTAGTGGTGCAAGTAGTAATTTTGAAACACCACCCACATATTATTCTGACTTTCTGTGCTGATGTGATCGACTGATAGTGTTTCTCTGGTGCCTTGCCATGTGGAAGTCGGGATGTTTCTGAAACTAATCTATTACTACAAGTCCAGTGATGTAAATGTCTACGTCATTTTGCTTTATGTCTGTTTTGTCCTTAAAGAAGTAAAATCTGAGATTGATGTTGATATGTTCTCGTTAAGAAAGTTTCCTTCCTCCCCTGTACCCCCCGCCCAGTCCCATGCTAACGTAGACCAATCCTGTGGTATTTCAGCCTTTATGTAATTGAGGAAGGGTCGTTGTGCCTACAAAAAGTCAGCAACTCGTGATCAGGATCTCTGCTTGGTATTTAATGTCTTTTTGTACTATTCTTCCTAAAATTATGAATGATTATTTGTGTATTCCAGTGGTTTCCTTGGGCTGTAAAGCTGTGTACTAGAAACACCTCAGACTTAAATGAAGCTATACAAAAGAAGTTATAACAGGAGAGATGTTACAGATATAATCCTTGTCTGTGTAAATAATGAAGTCATCCTGGGCATCACCATGTTGAGCCGAAGTAAACGTTACTGAAAATGGCAGTTATTTATAAATCAGTACAGGAATGTAACGAAGCACAAAAATAGTACTTATTTTCTCTTGCCTTTCATGAGAGTGAGCTAAATGCCAGTGGCTGGCAAGACAGTAAGTGGCTCTGAATTGAAAGCCAGTATTTATGTCTCGACAAGCCTGGTAATGGGCTTTTCTTAGACTCCTGCCCTGCAGATACGGTATTCAGGAGGTCAGTCCACAGATGTTGTATTTCTCCTTTGTCTTTTCTTCTACGTGAATTTCTCCTGCTGGCCTCAAAGTCTGCAGCAGAGCTTTTTGCTCTTGTGCTGTATCATCTGCTTTGAGGAATGTTTCTTCATATTACAATCAGAGCTCCTGCCAGTTTCTCTGATGGGTGCAGGGATACTAAATCTTTGGCAGGGCAAGAACAGTTTGAGGGAGGAGCGGTTGTCATGTTACAGTGAGAAAGGACGCCTACTCCCGTGTTTGTTGCTATCAGCTGGAGTAGGAGGGAGCCTTTCCCCCTTCTCTCCCCAGACTTGCCGTATAAATCTAAAGAGGAGCAGGCCTATCTCAGGGTTCTTGTTCTTAAAACAGGGTAAAGGAGATGAAGCAAGCAAGTACGTAAAGAAAGCCGAGAGCATGGATTTACGCATCCTACCGTAGCGGGGTCATTTGAACAGCATCCTGAGTGTGTCGGTTGGTGCGAGGGTGATTGTTGTGGTACGGTAGAACTTGATAAAAGAGCTGTGATAGTAACTGACAATTTCTCTTTATATTAGGCTCTACAGGAGCAGCTGACATCAGTTGTCCAGGAAATCGGCCACCTCATTGATCCCATAGCTACTGCAGCTCGGGGGGAGGCAGCTCAGCTTGGGCACAAGGTACCGTCCTACCATTACAAGTGTATTTGATATCTCGAACAGCCGGACGTTAGGGGAGACTACACTTTGGAAGCTTTTTCAGCCATCGGAAAGATATTTTCATTGAGGTTTTTGGCGAGGGGCAAGTTCACAGAGAAAGGACAAGGAAGAAAGGGGAGGGAAAAGCAAACACAGAAGGGTATAGCGCAATGTTATAGGTCTCTCTATCTCCGGCCGTCGCAGGTGGCAGCTATACGTACGTGTAGGTGGTTCTGTCTTTTGTGCCGCATTAAAGGTGACCGCAGGACCCGGGGCCCATCACGGTCCAGGCTCGTTCGGCAGGTCACAGAGTTACAGTTCAAATATGTATATATAGAAGAATTCGGCCAATTCCTGAAGTCTGGTCAAGGTTCGCCAGATCCTCTCCTGATCTGAGGTCCTTGCATAAAGCACGCTTCTCTATTTCTTGGCCAGCTCGTGACGAAGCAAGGAGGCAAGCATGGGATACGCGCAGAGGTTACCTCCGGCCTATGGAGGCCCATCTCCTGAAGCAGTTTCTGTAGTCTGAGGAGAGGGAGGTTTGAACTGTGGCTTCAAAGGAGGAGTGCGATGTGCCCACTTTACATCTTCTGAGTGAGGCGCTGTGTCTCGGATGATCATAGAGGGACCGTTACCTTTAGGAAAAAATTAGCGATTTTGAATGACCCTGTGTCCACCCCTGCTGCAAATTTTTAAGGGTCAGGAGGGAAGAAAGGCTTACAACAGTTCGGCCTTCTGTTGTAAGCATCGTGTAAATGTGTCCCTCATCTGGAGCGTAAGTGTCGGTAGAACTTCCACTTATTAGATCTCAGTCCAAAAATGAAATGTTACGATGTGCATAGCAGAAATGTGCCTTATTTACTGTGGTTATTACAAGATAGTATTAGTTTCTCATATAGCAATTCCTCATCCTACAATGTATTCTTGAGAGAAAAATAAAGTTTTCTGTGTCAGTGCATTTAATACTGGGAAGGAATCGCTTGGTTAGCGTGAGAGCTTTTCCAGAGTCATACCCAAGTAATTCCGTTCAGCTTTGGGTAACCATCAAATATTGCATAATGTCTCAACTATTTGCAGTTTTGATTCTCAGTTTACCAAGCCCTTTGAGGCACACAACAAATCAGGATTGCGAAGATATGGGTAGTTAGGGAGCGACGTTCTCCTCCTGCTTGATAGGTAAATGTTGACCAAAGTCAACAGCACTTTTCTCGAGCCTGCTTTTCCTGCTCAATGTAGAAGAAACCATTCCAGCTGTTTACTTTGATGCAGTTTAAAAGACCTTACATTTGTGAAATGATTCATATTATTGAGTTTTTCAGGGTGTGGCTTTGTTTTTGTGGTTGTTTGGTTTGGTGTTCTGTTGGTGTTTCTGGGGTTTTTTTGCTGTAATCGTCTGAGAAATAAAATAGGAAAAGAAGTCTGACCAAGTTGTAAAATGCTATCAGCTCTTAGCTATCCACATAGTCATTTAGATGGAGTACATCTTTCAATATCTTTTCCTGCACATGAAGTATTGCTATTTTTCTTCCCCATGGAAGTCTTTGAAAGCTGCTTTTAGTGCCTGCAAAGGTATACCCAGTTGAATTTCTGAGGCTTTGGGTGTACCAGATGGTGCTGTGGGGATATTCGTGCACATTCTGTGGAGTAATCAGCCCAAAGTAGTGCAGGGATTTGGCATCCAGTAAAAACTGTTAAGTGCAAAGTTGAGTGGATTTCTGACAGGAACCAGGAGCTGTTGCAATTCTATAGAAGATGTGTCAGATTACAGGTAGACTGTAAAAATATTCATTAACATAAAGAGATTTACTTCTTTAGTTAGAATACAGGTATAGCCAAAAGCAGACATTTCCTCAGAAGAAGTGTAAATGAGATCAGAAGCTGAGGAAAACAGGTTCCTCATATTTCTGCAGACTAAAATACAGCAACAGAAGCTGCTAAGAGTACCGTGTCTCTGGATAGTCCAAACACTGTATTGAGCGCAAGTAATTAACTGAGAGAAAAATGCAGCTTGCTCGGTACGCGGTCTTTGTAGCACGCCTATTCCTGTTGACCTATACCAGCCTCTCGGTTGCAGACTAGCACTTAACTGCTAGCCTTCTCTTGAACAGCAAGGAGAGCCTCAGGGTTGGGCCATGTGGCCGTCTTAGGGAAATGTTCCTTCATCAGGAGTGATGAACTGTGTCCAGAGGTAAAGGTAGTGCTTCTGCTCACTCAGGTATCCTATACAGCAGAGAACCATCCAGGTCTGCACCGGAATCTGATGAAGAGGGTTTGAGAGCTTAGGAGGAGCAAAGGCTGCAAATACAAGCAGTCCCTCAGGTAAACAGGGCAGTCCAAATCTAGTGCGATCCCATTTGTTATCTGTGGTCCGTAACAAAGGTTGACAAATTCTTTCTTTGCATGGAGGAGACGCTCCTAAGTAGCGTGCGGCTCCCGTGAGTTTTGGAAACATTTTTGTCTGACCTCAGTATACCGTGTGCATCTGAAGGGGAAGGGGACACGGGGCTTTATCAAGTAGTTGGAAGATGAAGGGAGACAGAGTCACACAGGCACATAACAAAACTAAACGCCATACAGCGCAGAAGCAGCAGAAGAGCGGGCTATTTAAGCTAACACGTGGCTTGACAGTAATCGGGGAATGGGATTCTTCTCAGTTTATGCCTGAGAAATGGGGTTAATGGCTTTCTGTGGTTGTTCTGGCTTCCTTAGGTAACGCAGCTGGCAAGTTACTTTGAACCCTTGGTTTTAGCCGCAGTTGGCATGGCATCAAAAACAATAGATCATCAGCAACAGATGACGGTGTTGGACCAGACAAAGACACTAGCAGAATCGGCCTTACAGATGTTGTACGCCGCCAAAGAAGGGGGAGGAAACCCCAAGGTAAGGTTGCCGTGTGTAACTAAGGGATGATTGGAGATGGGTGAGGGGAGGTGGGACAGAAAAAACCAGCACGTAGGTGCTGCACGGATGGAAGATACGTTGGCAACAAAAAGGCCGTTGACAGCTATACCGCCATCTCTCATCAGAGAGCGGAAGCAGTGGGTTCGCAAAGACAGGATTGCGGATCTCGCTCACAGCACCCTCACAAGAGACAAAAAGTAAGCGTCCGAATGCAAATACCGCTGCAGCGCTACACAACTCAACCGATTTGAAAACAAATAGAGGGTCAACAGCACGGGGACCTGCTGGCCCTGATAGGTGTAGGGCATGCCTCACATGACGAGGAACAAAGGACAGGGCCTGCTTTCTGCTGCTGAGCTCCACAGGGAAAGGTTTGCCCACCCACGAGCCACCTGACAGCGTAATGAATGAGGAAGGGCCTAACTTGAAGCCTCTTGCAGTGGGTAGAAAGCAAGGCCCCATCCTGCACCTTGGGGGTGAAAGAACATGCACCCTACTATGCAAAAAAAGTAAGGCAGGGCCTACCCCTGGCCATGCATAAATACGAACATATAGGGGACATGGACCTTAGTAGCTACAGCGCGCTGAGGGGAGCTCCGGATGTACTACCGAGTGCTTGAAATGATACAGGGTGGTAGTGGAATGCTCTTTGATTTAAACTTTCCTGCAGCTGCCTCTCTTACACAGTGAATGCTATCTGACATTCCTTGCACAGACGGAGTCATATGAACCTTTCTCAGAGGTACACACGCATAATGACACACATGGGGCATTGCCTGACACCTCTAGCGTATTCCACAGCTTCAAAGGGAAACCATGCCATACAACACTATAGAGGGCAGTACTGGGGAGCATGGTGGCTGACAGGTTTTTTTCACGGACGTGCTTCTACACTTTACCTAGAGGGAGTGGCGCGTGGCTCTTTTTTGCCTGGGGTGCGCTTCGCGCCCCCTTCTGAGAGGGGTGTATTGTGTGGCTCTTTTTTTCCTGGGGCGCCCTTTGCGCGCCTTTATAAGGGAGGGTGTGGCGCGCGGCTCATTTTTGCCTGAGGCGCGCTTCGTGCGCCTTTATGAGGGAGGGTGTGGCGCGAGGCTCTTTTTTGCCTAAGGCGCGCCTTTATGAGGGAGGGTGTGGCGCTAGG